TGATCCTCCACAGAGAGGAAGGGAGAGGGATAGAGAGCTAGAAACATCAATGAGAGAGAAACATCGATCAGCTGCCTCCTGCACACCCCGCACTGGGGATGTGCCCGCAACCAAGGTACATGCCCCTGACTGGAATCGAACCTGGGACCCTTGAGTCCGCAGGCTGATGCTCTATCCGCTGAGCCAAACCGGTCAGGGCTTTAATTAACTTTTTAAAAAAATATATCTTTATTGATTTCAGAGAGGAAGGGAACGGGAGACAGAAATAGAAACATCAAGGATGAGAGAGAATCATGGATTGGCTGCCTCCCGCAAGTCCCCTCATGGGGATCGAGCCCGCAACCCAGGCCCCGCAACCCAAGCATGTGCCCTTGACCGGAATCGAGCCCAGGACCCTTCAGTCCGCAGGCTGACGCTCTATCCACTGAGCCAGACCAGTCAGGGCCCATCCACTATTTTTAAAATAGTGCCTCCCATCACCTGAATCCTCCTCTTCCTAGCGCCCACCCCTACTGACCTGATGTCATATTTGGATGCGTGTGTCTAGTGTTGGTTTCTCCCCCTGTGACTGGGAGCTGGTGTTAGCAGTCACTTCTGCGAGTGATGGCCAGCAGCCATCCGCGGCCATCTGCATTGCAGGTAGTTATAATGAAATAAAATCTAAATCCCAGTTCCTCGGTCCCACTGGCCACGTTCAAGTGCTCCATAGCTAACCGTAGCCCGGGCTTCCCTGCCGGGCAGAGGCCGTTTCCATCACGGCAGGAAGTTGGACTGGGTGGTGCTGACGCTGCACTAGGGGGCGCCTCTGAGGGCAGGGACCACGCGCATCTTCTCCGCTGCTGCACCCCCAATGCCCCCAGAAGTAGTTATTGAATGAATGGGCAAAGGAAGGAAGGAAGGAAGGAAGGAAGGAATGAATGAATGAATGAGTGAATGAATGAAGGAGTGAATGGATGAGTGGGAGGGGGAGTGAACGCATGAATCCCCCCCACCTGCCTCTCCCCACCTTGGCCTCAGGGTCCTTGTGGAAGAGCCCCTGGAGCACGCGCAGGGCGTCGATGACGCTGTGGTCGCGGTCCTTGCAGTAGGAGAGCAGGCGGTGCACGTCGGCCAGGACCAGAAACTGCTTGGAGATCTTGTTGGTGGTGCGCACCGGCAGGCAGGTGTTGGCCAGCAGGCGGCCGGGGCGGAAGTAGTAGGCGAACTCGATGGGGCAGGCCGGGTGCGAGTGGGTCAGCCGGCACTCCGTCACCACCAGGCGGTCCCGCAGCGGGCTCAGCTTGACGATGATGAAGGCCGGGCAGCCCGCCTCATGGTGCCTGCGGAGAGACACACGGCCGCCGCCCGCACGTCACCCTCTGCCCTCTGCTTCCCTCCCTCTCCTTCTCATCGTTATTTTTAAAAAGTGAGAATGGGCCCTGACCGGTGTGGCTCAGTGGATAGAGCGTCAGCCTGCGGACTGAAAGGTCCCAGGTTCGATTCCAGTCAGGGGCATGTATCTTGGTTGCAGGCACAGCCCCAGTGGGAGGTGTGCAGGAGGCGGCTGATCGATGTTTCTGTCTCATCGATGTTTCTAACTCTCTATCCCTCTCCCTTCCTCTCTGTAAAAAAATCAATGAAATATATATTTTTTTAAAAAAAGTAAGAATGGTTTCAAGCATAGGATACAGTAGAGGGCCTTAGGCATACGCCGGGTGCCCGACTTCGGGCAAGTCACTTCTCCCATTTTCCGAGGGAGGAAACTGAGGCCCAGAAAAGGTGAGTCGCAGGCTCAATGCCATCGCCTAATCAGCAGCAGAGCCATGGTCTGCACCCAAAAGTCTGCGCTCTCCAGGCCTCCTGTAACAGCTATCGTTTACCCAGCCGCCTCGAGTTCCTGCGCATGGTGTCACGGGAACCTCCCAACAGCCCCACGCGGTAGGCACGGTGATAGCCCCATTTCACAGATGAGAAAACTGAGGCCCAGGATGTGAGGTCTGTTGCCCAAGACACCCACCCAGGAAGTGGGAGGAGGCCAAAGATGGGGTGAAGGCTTATTTCTAGAGATGAGTGGGGGTGTATCCCGCCTGGGGCTCCATCTGCATAGAGACCCCATCCTGGGGCACCTAGCTCAAGCAGCCGGAGTCTGTGTTCTAGGGACTCTACTCTTGTCTGTGGCTCCTCAACCAGGGTCTCAAACTCATGCACCTACGGGGCCAGGCAGGCAAAGCAAGGAAGCGGCAGTGCCAAGCATGAGCAGCAGGGAGTGGTGGGGTCTGGGCAAACCTGAGTGCTGATGCCCATCTAACTGGGGTGGCGTCTGCCACGCGGGAACGTGGGCTCCGCCTCTCCCTGTGCTTCACGCGGAGCCAGAAACTAACCTTCTATGGGTAACGTTCCCAGTTTAAAATTGGGGCCAATTGAGATACTCTTTGCCATCTGGGCGTGTTTCTTTCTCTCTCTCTCTCTTTAAAATGTATCTTTATTGATTTCAGGAAGGAAAGAGAGATAGAAATATCAATGATGAGAGAGAATCATTGAGTGGCTGCCTCTTGCACGTCCCCTACTGGGGATCAAGCCCGCAACCCAGGCATGTGCCCTTGACCAGAATCGAACCTGGGACCCTTCAGTCCACAGGCTGACGCTCTAGCCACTGAGCCAAACCAGCTAGGGCCTGGGCGTGTTTCTTAGCTCTCTTGGGTTTCCCCCTTGCCCTGCCGTAGCATGATAGTTGGAGGGAGTTACAAGTGGGTTTGTTCACACAACGTCCATCTTCCTGCTCAGTCTGAAGTTCCAGACGGGCAGGGAATTGATCCGTCTTGCTCAAATAACCACCCCCCCAACCCCCGCCCAGTGAAATATCCCAGCCCCCAGCCCGGGGCCTGGCCCTGTATTTACTGAATGCATGGATTCTTTTCTCTGTCCTGTGGTTTTTTCTGCAGCTCTGTCTCTGATCTCCTTGTATGAGCACAAAACCTGGCTTTCACCTGTTTTTTCTGGCTCTGTCTGGTATCTCTGGCTCCAAGTCTCCACGTTTCCGGAATTTGTTGAGTCTTTTTTTCTTCTTCTGTCTCTTGGGTATCTATCCTAAGGTCTGTAAGTAGAGCCCGTCCCGTCTCTCACTGTGCGTGACTTTGTCCTTCCATCTCCATCTCTCTCTCTCTCTCTCTCTCTCTCTCTCTCTCTCTCTCTCTCTCTCTGTGCAAGCTTCCCTTCTCGACCCTCTCAGCCTCTCTACAAGGTATATTTAGCTGTTTTAGTTGGCATCTCTCGCTCCCAATCTCTGGGTGTGGGGCTCTGTGCTTACCCCTCCCCCTTGCTTCCCTCCCCCTCTAGCACGCAGCAGGGTGGCGGCTGAGCTCACTTACCCCATGGCGGGCCGGCTGGGAGCACGCACATCCTTGCACACTAGCCGCACGTAGCTGTACTTGAGCACGTCGATGAGCGTGTACAGGGGGGGCAGCCTGGCCCAGTGGCAGCGGGTCAGGTGCATGGAGCTCTGGATGAAGAAGAGCGCCAGCCGCTGCTGGCACCAGGCGTCGAAGAAGCGGCTGAACTCAGCCCAGGAGAAGAAGGCCCGTTCCAGCAGCTCCTGCTCCTCCTGCTCCTCCTGCCCCACCACCAGGCCCCGCGGGCGCTCCATCCTGGGGCACCTGAGTCAAACAAAGGTGGGAGGACGTGTGCCTAAGGCTGCAGACCCTCCCCCACCGGAGGCATCCTACTCCCTCCACTTTAGACCTGCCTCTTCCGTGCTGGTGCCTCTATGCAGGTGGGGGGTGGGGGGTGGGGGGAATACAACCCCATTCATCTCTAGAAATAACCTCCACCCCATCCTTGGCCTCCTCCCACCTCCTACACTATCCATCGACGGCTGGAGCCTGTCATCCTGGCCCCTCATGCCAGCTCTGGTTCCCTCCTGCGTAGATGGGACCCCAGGTGTAGTCGGGGTCCCTCGCCCAGAATAGGACTCTTAAGCTCGGTGGCGGACACTTCCTCAAGCAGGTTCCCAACTTCCAGCTAAGACCCCCCTCCCCCCCATGTGCTCCTACATGTGGCAGTGCCCCCATTCGCCTGGAACTCTCCCCTCCCGTGTCTCCGCATGGCTGTAAGCTGTGCCACACCCCTGCAAAGGTGTCCCACCTCCAGATGTGCTCCCACATCCAGATGTGCTCCCACATCCCGCCGCGGACCCCTGCCCCGGGTCATATTCTCATACACCTGCAGCTGCTGGCCCTTCCCCAGGCGCAGCCCCTAGGAGTCGCCTCGCCCAGCGGTGGCCCCTGTTGCCTGGAAATACTTGCACGTCCAGATGTCCTCCCCACAGACAGCAAGTCCTCACTCCTTACGGGCGTGTACCCCACTCCCCGTGGCCAATCTCAGAAGTGTCACTAGTATTCGTCTGTGTCCCCCTCCTGCCCAGTCGCGCTCCCCCCACCCCCACCCCCACCCCCAGCCCCGTCCCGCTGGGGCCGCCTCCTTTCATCTACAGGTATCATCCTCCAGGGGTGCGTGATGGTCCGAGACATGGCCCCTGGTCCCGATGCGCTCCATCACTCCGATGCTCCAGCGTCCAGCTGCGCGACCCCCGCCCCCTGCAGCCCCTCCCCGCTCCGCCCGCCGCCGCCCGCTGTCCCATCCAGTGGTACCTCCTCCCTCCCCCAGATGTGCACCCTTCCCGCCCCTCCCCACTCACCTACCCGCCCCGGAGCGGCGTCCACCTCCCACAATGCCCCGCGCCAAGGCCCTTGCTCCCGGGATGCCCCGCGCGGCCTCCGGCCTCTCTTCCCGCCGTGCCTCGCGCAGCGGCTTTTTCCCAAGTCTCCCCCTTTCCCCGTCGGTCACTCCGGGGACCCGCAGGCACACCCACCGGTCCCGACCGAGGAAAGGCGCGGGCCTTCTCCCAGCGTGCTCTGCGGGAGGGCTCGCCCCTCTTCACCCCTCCCCTAATAGCCTCCCGCCCTGGAGACTACAACTCCCAGCATCCACCGAGCGGCGGCGGCGCGGACGTCGCCCTGGCCCCGCCCCTCAGCCCGGCCCCACCCCCGGCCGCCGAGGTCTGCGCGCGAATTCCGTGGCGCGAATTTGGGAGCGCAGTCGAGTATTCGGGGGTTCCCGGTGTGACGCCCAGTGTTGCGGCGCGCGGGGCCCGCGCGAGGCAAGTGGGGCGCGCTCGCGGGGACTGAGGGGCGCCCGGGGCCCGCGGCTTTGCGGGGACTGCCGGCTCCAGCGGCCGGGAGCGCGGTGAGGAGAGGAGAGCGCCGGCAGCGCGTCCGCCGGAGGGAGGGCCGGGTGGGAGGTAGACGCGCGGCTGGAGCCACTTGGACGAAGAGGGTTTCGTGCGAGGTTTGGAGGGACCGGCCACCTGGATGGGGGCACAGTCAGAAAATGGCTAAGTGGACTGGGGCGCCGAAAATTGGAGGGGCCGGGGGATGCGGGCCACCTGGGGGGCGGGGCCACCTGGGACGGGGCCACCTGGGGGCGGGGCCACCTGGGAGGCGGGGCCAGCAAGGGGGCGGGGGCACCAAGGAGGCGGGGCCACCTGGGAGGCGGGGCCACCTGGGAGGCGGGGCCACCCGGGGCGGGGCCATCTGGGGGAAAAGGAAAAAGTTCCATAGTGAGGGGGGGGGTAAAGGGGGGGCCGGGAAAAGTTGGAGGCGGGGCCAGCTGTCAGGGGCGGGTCAGGGAGAGGTCAGCGGTGAGGCCTTGGTCTAGGCACGGGGAGTGGTCTGGCCTCGGTTACCTGTGAGGGGGCGGGGCCCAGGGGAGGGCTGTGAAGGCTGGACAGGGAGGAGGAGGCCTGGGTCTGGGAAGGGGTGGGGCCGTAAGGAGGTTTGGGGGGATGGGGCCACAGGGAGTGGGGTACATGCCGGTGAGGAATGAGGACTTGCTGTCTGTGGGGAGGACATCTGGGTATGGAAGTATTTCCAGGAAACGGGGCACCGCTGGGCGAGGCGACTCCTAGGGGCTGCACCTGGGGAAGGGCCAGCAGCTGCAGGCGTATGAGAACACGACTGGCACTTCTCACTGGCAGATGATTCTGGTCCGGAAAAAGGGGAGTTTCTTCTCGAGGGGGAAATGCATGTTTCTGATATTGTGGATTTTTTTTCTTTCTGCAAGTGGGAGGTTTATGGCCCTGGCCGGTTAGGCTCAGTGGATAGGGCATCAGCCTGCGGACTGAAGGGTCCCGGGTTTGAGTCCCATTGAGAGCACGTACCTGGTTTGCGGGCTTGATCCCCAGTTGGGGAAGAGGGGGTTGCAGGAGGCAGCTGATCAATGATTCTCTCTCATCTTTGATCCTATCTCTCCCTTTCTTTCTGAAATCAATAAAAACATATTTTTTAAAAGAAGGAGGTTTATGAGTTTTGATATCTGCACAAGCAGTCTTCTCACCAAGTATTTGGATTTCTGTTCCAGAACAGCAGACAGGAGAAGAGGCGGAGGAGCGGGGAAGGGACACTTTTGCCGCCATCATGCAGCGAAGCATCATGTAAGGAAACCTCATCCCCCTTCTCGCCTTAAACTCTCCGAGTCTCTGCTTGTCTCTGCAACTCTGCCTTTTCTTAGAAAAACTCAGGCTGGCATTTTCCAGAAGTTGATCAGTACGGAAAACGGGGAGTGAGTTAACTAACATGTTAGGTGCAGGGTTCGGAAAGCCTAACCGGTGGTGCTCAGGCCGCGGCAGTTTCGCCTTCCACATCTGGCAGTATCTGCAAATGTTTGTGGTTGTCACAGCTGGGTGAGAGGGGTAAAGGCCAGGCTGCTGCTAAACATCCTGATGCAACAGAGAATGGTCTGGCCTGTCACTCAGGCATGCCGAGGTGGGGAAGCCCTGTCCCAAGGCAGGGCTCAGGAAAAGCAGAAAGGGGATCACCTGGCTGTGTCATTGGAACCTGGAGTTAACAGTTGGATCTAGTTGCCAAAGCTTTGCCCCTGGGAATCCGTCTCTCCATGTTTCAGCTCTGCTTGCCCTCAGGTTGCGTCGTGTTGGCAGGCCCTCTTCCTCGGGCTCTGGCACCAGAGAGTTAGCAATCCCAGTGGGAAGAGGCTGCCCCCTCCCAGCTGTTCCAACAGTGTCTAGGCTCCTGTTTCCATTGGCCCAGCTTAGGCCCCATGCTGGTCCCTGATCTGGCCACAGGGATGCAGGGCTCTGATTGGCCGGGCCTTGGGGCCTGTGCCCGCCCCAGTCATGGGTGAAAGGACAGGCCTATATGCAAATCTCAGGTACTGAGAGAATTGGGGGAAGAGGCCTCCCAAGAGAAAAGTGGAGGGCTGTTACCAGACGCTAGACAGACCCAGACCTCACATCCACCACACAGACCTGGGAGAGGGTGGCTCAGACAGACCTCAGGCTGGATTTTTCCCACGTGATGAGGAATCTGGGGCGAATCTGCCCTTCGCTTATACTAAGTGCTTAGTTAATACTTGTTGATTGACAGTGGGGATGTGGCATGTCAGGTGGAGTCAGGGCAGAAAAGTAAGCAGAGGGCTGCCTCCTCACCTGGGCTTCAGTTTCCTTATCAGAAGGGGGTTGTTTGGAATCTCCTGTTACAGGCGAGGCTGGGAACTGGCGTCGGAAGCTGTGGAGGACGTCCTGTATCGGGGGAGTTATTGGTGCTGTTTTCATTCCCGTTCTTCCCCCTCCTGTGCTCCTCCAGGTCGTTTTTCCACCCCACGAAAGAGGGCAAAGCAAAGAAGCCGGAGGAGACACCCAGCAGCGCCAGAGAGGCCGAGCCCCCTCCAAAGCACGTAACGGGCCTGGGCTGTGGTGAATTTGTTCCTTTGTCAGTCAGGACTGTTGGCTGCAAGTGTGAGAAACTCAGCTCAGACTGTCTCAGGATCTCAAAGGGAATTTTTGACTTCAATAACTGGAAGTCCAAAGGGTATGTCCAGCTTCAGGCACAGCTGTATCCAGGCCTCAGAGCTGTCTTCAGGGCTCTGTTTCATGTCTCGAGAGCAGCGGTCGCCAACCTTTCAGCCCTCACGGACCACCGAATTGGAGCAGCGGTTGCCAACCGGTGGTCTGGACCACCGTGAGGTCCGAAAGGTTGGCGACCGCTGCTCTAGGGCAGACTTTTTAAGAGGCGGAGAAGCTGGCCACTGGCCTCATTTTCATGCCAGCTTACCGAATTCAGTGATTTTCAACTTTTTTCATTTCATGGCTCACATAAACTCATTGCTAAAATTATGCAGCACACCAGAAAGGGTATTTTTTGCTGAACTTACAATTTTTTTTTAAAATATATATTTTTTTATTGATTTTTTACAGAGAGGAAGAGAGAGATAGAGAGTTAGAAACATCGATGAGAGAGAAGCATCGATCAGCTGCCTCCTGCACATCTCCTACTGGGGATGTGCCCGCAACCCAGGTACATGCCCTTGACCGGAATCGAACCTGGGACCCTTCAGTCCACAGGCCGACGCTCTATCCACTGAGCCAAACCGGTTTTGGCTGAACTTACAATTTTAATTCATTCACAATTGATGGCTATTGTGCTTTTTTGAGAATTTAAGGGAAAAGAGGTCAGTGCCCCTTGTGCTGCGCCAGCACGGCTAAGGGTGAACCCAAGTGGGGGCGATGAAAGGCTTAGAAAAGACGGACAAGAGAATGAAAGCTGGGTCTTGGCAGGACGCTGTCCTCTCGGGTGGAGAGAGACAGCGCCAGCGCCCACAAGCTGTGTCTTTATTTTATAGCAGATGCCATGAGGCAAAGTAAGGGCGTGATCAAGATGTTTACAACATTTTTGTGGGTTTCAGTCCTACTCATCTACATGCACCTGAACTCTATCAAGCCCACATCACTCAGGCACGTGGGGCCACGTGTTCGGACCATAGGTTCAAGCTTATAGCTATAGCTGTTGGCTATAATTGTGCTGGGAGGGCTCTGCCTTCCAAGCTGGGACTTGCACATGCCCTCTCCTCAGTCCAAGGCTTGAACCTGTCCAAAACCCTGGAGCCGCACCCCACAGCCCCTGACGAGTCAGGTGCTGCATGTTTTAAAAACTCTTGCAGCACATCAGTGTGCCTTTCGTGGCACACTGGTTGATAATTGCTGATCTAAGAAGAGAGCAGTGGTCTCTCCTCCAGCATCTCCTGCACAAGTTCGTGGGGAGGCCCTGCTGGGGTCACATGATTACCCCAGTCGGCTTTCCCAAACATGGACTCAGTCTAGATTTCGTTCATGTCCCCAATTTGGGACCCCGGGCAAGTAATTTACTTCATGTGTCCCAGTTCCTGGCGTGTAACAGGGAATCTTAATCTCTGTTAGGCTTTCTGTGTGGGTTCCATGAATTAACGGATGTACACTGTGTAGAATAGTACCCAGTTCATGTACTTACAGGCTCAGTAAGTAGCGATAATCAAGTAATATTCTTTTTCAACACTTGATTTTCAGATCTGCCCCTGTTGTGTATACATAGCTATATATCTTATACTAGAGGCCCGGTGCATGGATTTGTGCACATTGAAAGGAAATTAATTATAAGAAATATTTTAGAGGCCGGGGAGGGACCGAGGGAGATTGGCCGGCTGGGGAGGGACTGTGGGAGGGCTCTAGGGTGTGTCCGCCCAGTCTCACCCAGTCCTGATCTGCAGACTTCAGCAGCAAGCTAACCTACCGGTCAGAGCGTCTGCCCCAGGGTGGTCAGTGAGCATCATAGTGACTGGTCGAAAAGTCGAACGGTCAGACACAGCATATTAGGCTTTTATTATATAGGATAATAAAAGCCTAATATGCTAAGTGTCTGGTCTGGTCGGCCATTCAACCAATCGAAGTGTAATATGCTAATGATATGCTAAGGCTGCTCAACCGCTCGCTATGATGTGCACTGACCACCAGGGGGCAGAGAGTCGACTGGTCTAGCATGGATACCCTAATGTGGAATTATACAAGGTGATTGTTAATATGTCAACTCAGAGAAGTAGGTAAAGTAAACATTTGAAGTCTTTCTAATCACTTTCCAGAGGAACTACTTTTACAAGTTTGAGGTATATCCTTTCTTCTGTGCCTATAAACATATGTGCACCTACCAGAGTTATTAACACATAATAGGTGCTCAATAAATATTTGTTGAGTGTTTCCCATACTTACATATTGCACATATTGCACAGCAGGACTGTCATGTTGGTCGCTAATCTAGCCCAAGTAGCTGGCACATGCCTGATACCTACCAGATGCTCAGTAATATACACCCTTATTTTTAAATAGCAAAAGCTGGGTTATTATATATGCAAATTGCAGGTACATATTGGCAAACAGATATTTTTTACGCTCATGGACTCATACTATACATATTCATTTTTTCAAGAACTATCTACTGAGTATCTTCTACGTGTCAGGCACTGTCTGGATTCTGGGCTCCTCTCGTGGTGTTGATCACCTGCTTTTTTCCTCCCGAGAATGTCTTTTAAAGCCCTCCCGTGATGCTTTGTATAAACCCACTTTATTCTTTTTGAGGGTCCATACAATGAGTGTGCTATCACTGACCTAACTAGGGAGATGTCTCTATTCCTCATCCAGACCGTGGGCTCTGGGAACGCAGACACCTGTAGGAATCAGCCTTGTTCTCGTGCCGTAAGCGACCTCCCCACTGCTCTGTGTTTGATGGTCTGTGCCCGTGCTCTGCACCAGGCCGGGCGCTCCTCAGAGCCAGTGTGGGGGGGCGCAGTGGGGCTGCATAGGCTGGTAGGCAGCTCTGTGCTAGTAGGTTGCCTGAGACCCAGGTTCCCTCCTTGCCCACCCTCCCAGCCCAGCCATGCCCTCGTGAGCATTATCAAAGCAGGCCCGCCAGTTCAAGTTCCAGGGCTAAGGCAAGGTGAGGGCAAGTTGCTTGTCAGGCATGGCCACTTACATTCTGTTGGTCAGAACTTACCAGGTGACCATGCATAGCAGCAGGGGAGGCTGGGAAGTGTAGTCCCTAGTCGAGTGGCTATGTGCCCAGCTACAACTCAGGGGCTTGTATGACTAAAGGAAAGAGGGTTTTCAAATGGCTGTTGAGGCCAGTCTCTGCCCTCAGTAGGAACTCCACTTGCTCTCAGATTCACCCATAACAGGGTGGGCACATAGGAGGCCTCCAGAGATCCATGATGGGTAGAGGGATAATTCAGAGTATATGCCTAGGCCTGGCCGGGTGGCTCAGTTGGTTAGAGTGTCATCCCAAAACACCAGGGTTGCTGGTTTGATCCCTGGTCAGGGCACATGCCAGAAGCATAATAAGTGGAGCAACAAATTGATGTTTCTCTCTCTTCCCCTGCCTCTCTCTCTAAAATCAATAGTAATTAAAAAAGGGTATATGCTTAGGAGGCCCCTAGATGTTCATTGATGGTTGAAAGGAAAGGAAGGAGGCAGACATGGTGAAGGAGCTGGAGTGTTTGTCCGGCCCACTCTGCCAGCCAGAACACCCCCGTTTCCCCCCCTTCTAGGGTGGCGCTGAAGGAGCGGAACAGAGTGGTGCCTGAGAGCGACTCTCCGGTGAAGAGGTCGGGCAGGAAGACGGCCCGGGTCCTGTGCAGCGAAGGGGAGGAGGAGGAGGACGATGAAGCCATCACGTCCCCCAAAGGCCAGGTAGGTCCCTGTCAGCCTGCCCACTTTTACGGGGAGCAACCCTAATTCCCATTAGCCTTCGGAACCGAGTGCAGCAGCTGCTCAGAGGGGCCCTGGAGACATGCCCCAGGACAGGGAGGGTTTCGTGGTCGTGCCCTGGAGCAGGCAGACAGGCAGGTCTCCACAGTCCTAAGTCCGCCTCAGTCGTGGGACCTGAGGCAGGCCCCCCGACCTTGGTGCGCCTCACCTGTGACATGCAGCTCATGGTGGCGCCTGCCTCTCAGGTTGGCTGTGAAGAGGATGGGCGTCAGCTCACATACGGATCTGAGAATAACGCCTAGAAAATGTCCATTGGTGGTTGAAAGGAAAGGAAGGGCCCAAAGATACGTAGTCTCTCCTGTTATCACAGCTTGTCGTCTGCTCTACACTTTGGCTCATTTCCTTTCCGTTGAAAAGTAATTTAATGCCTGCCCTGGCCGGTGTGCTCAGTGGTTAGAGCGTCTGCCCGAGCACCGAAGGGTCTCGGGTTCAATTCCTGGTCAAGGGCACGTGCCTGGGTTGCAGGTTTGATCCCCTGCCCTGGTCGGGGCATGTGCAGGAGGCAACCAATTGATGTGTCTCTCTCACATCCATGTTTCTCTCTCTTTCTTTTTCCCCCTCCCTCCCTTATGGGGCGCGGCTGCAGTGTTTTGGCTAGGATCAAGCCTTGGACTAATGAAAGGACAGGGTCCTCTCATTGCCACGTGCAAGTCCCAGCTGGAGGGCAGGGCCCTCCCAGCACAATCATAGCCAACGGCTGTGGTTGTGAGCGTGAACCTATGGTCCAAACACGTGGCCCCACGTGCCTTGTGGTAGAGTTCAGGTGCATGTAGTTGAGTGAGGTTGGAACTCACGAGAATGCTGTAAACAACTTGATCACGCCCCTACTTTGCCTCGTGGCATCTGCTATAAAATAAAGACACGGCTTGTGGGCGCTGGCGCTGTCTCCTCATCAGGGAGCAGCGTCCCACCGAGACCCAGCTATTATTCTGTCTGTCTTTCCTTAATCCTTTCACCCCCCCACTCAGTTCACCTTTGGCCGCAACAGTCCCTTCATTCCACTCTCTGAAAATCAATGGAAAAATATCCTTGGATGAGGATTAACAACAACAGAATCACATAAACCTATTATGTCGCAGTTCTGGAGGTTGGGGGCCTGACGCGGGTCTCACGGGGCTGAAGTCAGGGTATCGGCAGGGCTGCGTTTCTGGGATACGAGGAGAGACTCATCTCCCTGCCCTTTCCAGCTTCTAACGGCCGCCTTCTCTCTCTGTGCAAACGTAGCAACGCTGCCCTTCTGTAATCACGTCTCTCTCTCCTGCTCCCTCTTCTACTTTCTGGCTCCTGTGATTGCATTGGGCCCAGCGGATGATCCAGGATCATGTCCATCTCTCAGGGCCGCTGGTTAACAGCCTTACTTGCCCCTGCAGCCTGGATTGCCCTTTGTGGTGCCTCCAAACACTCAGATCCCAGTGATTCGGACAGGGACCTCTTTAGGAGCTCGGACTTGGCCCCGAGGCTGTGAGGCCGCTGAGGAAGGGCTTGAGCAGGAGAGGGAAGAGGTGGCCTGGGCTCCTGGGCTCCCGTGGGGCCTGTGGGGAGGTGTGGAGCTGACATTCAGACCTTTGTGGTGCAGATGCTGGCTGGTGGGTGCTGGGCCTCTGGGTTTGGAGGAGCCGCCTTGGGGCCTGGGGCTCAGACCTTTGAGGAAGGGGCACTGGGCAGAGGCTGCCGGTCTCCGTAGGGCACCAGGCAGCAGGCCCTGCAAGTGTTGGAAGAACTGGAAGTTGGATCCCCGGGCACCTTGTGCTGACATTCCTGACACAGAGCAGGAAAGGGGTGGCAGAGTCCCAGCATCACACGGGGGAGCGGATGGGAGCTGAGGGGCAGTCGCTTAATCCCTGGCACAGGGCCCTGTATGAAGATGAGTTAGTAGTTGAAACCAAGACACAAATAACAGAGGCTTTCATTTTTTTTTATTTTTTATTGATTTTTTACAGAGAGGAAGGGAGAGAGATAGTTAGAAACATCGATGAGAGAGAAACATCCATCAGCTGCCTCCTGCACACCCCCTACTGGGGATGTGCCCGCAACCCAGGTACATGCCCTTGACCGGAATTGAACCTGGGACCTTTCAGTCTGCAGGCCGATGCTCTATCCACTGAGCCAAACCGGTTTCGGCAAGACACAAATAACAGAGGCTTAAGCAAGGTAGGGCTCTCGCTCTCAGCACAAAAGTCCCGGATTGGTGTGGGAGTCTCTGAGTCAGGGGGGCTCTTGTCCAAGGGAATATCCACGTTGGGAAGAGGGCACTCCCCTTTCCACTGATGAATGCTGTTGGGACCGAGGGAAGCATGCGTTAGTTCCCCTTACCTTGCATCGTGTAGAACTGAGGGGCATGGTCACACTAGCCGCAAGGGAGGCTGGGAAGTGTAGTCTTTAGTTGGGCCACCACATGCCTACCTAAAAATCAAAGATTTTGTCTCTTTAGAAAAAAGAGTTGTTATTGGTGTCCAGGAGAATCTGGGACCATGAACTCTACATGGAGGGTGGAGTGAGAGGGGCTGCGGCCTGAGCTGGGGCTGGGACTGTGGCATGGAGAGGAGTGGGGAGAGCGGCTTCAGTGTTGGGACAGGTTCAAGCCTCAGACTAATGAGAGGGCACGGTCCTCTCATGGCCACGTGCAAGTTCCAGCTTGGAGGGCAGAGCCCTCCCAGCACAATTATAGCCAAGAGCTGTGGCTGTGAGCTTGAACCTATGGTCCGAACACGTGGCCCCACGTGCCTGACTGCTGTGGGCTTGAGAGAGTTCAGGTGCATGTAATCGAGTAGGATCGAAACCCACGAGAATGTTGTAAACATCTTGACCACGCCCTTACTTAGCCTCGTGGAAACTGGCTATAAATAAAGACACGGCTTGTAGTCCGTGGTGCTGTCTCTCTCCCCCGAGAGGGCAGCATCTCACCGAGACCCAGCTTTCTTCTCTTGTCTGTCTTATCTAATCCTTCACCGCCCCCTCTCAGGGTCACTAAACCTGGCTAAGCTGGTGCGGCACATGAGGCGCCCAATGTGGGGCTGAGTTGCCATGGCCATGCCCGCCCGCCACAGGGGAGAGACAGAGTCCCTCTGCTTGGGAAATGAGATACTCAGTGCTCTCTCTCCCCCCCCCCCCCCCACTCTGTAATTGCTCTTTCTTTCTTCTTCCAGAAGCCTGCCCCCAGCTCTCCACAAGTCTCCCCTCCCGCTCCTGTCACGTCCCCTGAGAGCAGCCCTTCCCTCTCCGGCCCCTCTCCGGCAGCGACCATCTCCCCGTCAGGGATCCCGAAGCGGCTCACAGGTAAGGACACACGGCCTGCCCTTTCGGTTGCTTGTCCTTGTCCCCACTTGGATTTCAGCGCCAGGCAACCGTCCTCATGACAGCTCTGAGCTTGGCCTTGTGGTTAAGAGCACAGCTCCACCATCCACCGGCTGTGTGACTGGGCAAATGGCCTCATTCACCTGTTTTTGTCCCTCTTTTCAGTGTAGATACTAGAAGATTTAAGATGATTGTGTGGCTCGCATGTATTTTCATTAGATGGTGTGGTATAAGGAATAATAGCGGTGACGCGGGCTGTGGGAGCACAGAACTGAGCCCGCCCGCCCGGAGGAGGTGACCCGGAAGATGGGTTAGGTTCGCTGTGCTGGGAAAGGGCGGTGGGAAGTGTTGCAGCCGAGAGCAGCACGTGCAGAGGCCAAGAGGCAGAACAGCCTGGTGTGTTTGGGGCGTCCTGCGCTTCAGCGTTTCTGGAGAATACAGTGCCGTTTGGAGAGCGGGGAGAGTCTGAGGGCGAGTGGGGAGGGATGAGCTGAGGCGGAGAGTGGGGGCTGGCTCCCGGAGGGCCCTGCACGCGAGGCTAGGGAGCGGGCTTTGCCTGCGGTGCTGGGGAGCCTGGGGGCGCTGCGAGCTGACGGCTGGTCAGGCCTGCGGGAGAGGTGGTCCTAATAACAGAACCGAGCGGCTCGGGTGTGTCAGGGATTCATTTCAGAGGAAGGGACGTCTGAGCTTTGTCCCAAAGGGCTGGGCCACGAGCTCAACAACACGTGCGAAAGCCCAGAGGTGACTGCGGAGAATTTGGGAATGACAGCCGTTCAGAGATGCTGGTAAAGAAAGTGGGTTGTGTGGCGTGGGAGTCAGGGGGTCAGGTGGAGAGAAGTTAGGGAGGATGGGAGGACAGAGTGGACACTAAAAGGCTGTCCCGGCCGAAACCGGTTTGGCTCAGTGGATAGAGCGTCGGCCTGCGGACTGAGAGGTCCCAGCTTCGATTCCGGTCAAGGGCATGTACCTGGGTTGTGGGCACATCCCCAGTGGGAGATGTGCAGGAGGCAGCTGATCGATGATTCTCTCTCATCGATGTTTCTAACTCTCTATCCCTCTCCCTTCCTCTCTGTAAAAAATCAATAAAATATATTTAAAAAAAAAAAAAAAAAAAGGCTGTCCCGGAGTGGGGGGCGGGGAATGTGGGAAGCTTTCGAGCAGGGCGGGGACAGTTCCCGCCACAGCCGCTGAAGGTCCCTCTGGGGTCATGGGAAGAAGCCAGGAAACCAGGGAGAAGGTGAGAATTGATGAGAATCATTACAGCTGCCTTTTCTTCACCATGTGATCTCAGCTTGGCATCTTCTAGAAACAGGCTCTGAAACTCTGTGACAAGGATTCAGTGCAGACCATTTCTTGGGGAGGTGGGAGGTGCAGAGAAGACAGACAGTGATCCAGGGAAGGGGAGTCGGCCCATAACAGATGTGTTCTTGGGTCGCCCCCCCAGGGGTGCTGGAGCTTCATTCGCTGGGGAAGCGCTGGGAATTGGCCTAAATGTGTGCAGAATGATCTGCCGGAAGTGCGGGGAGCTGGGTGCTTATACACCAGCACCGTTAGTCTCTGGGTGAGGGAACTCCCAGGGCCTGGTGATTCCTGGTGCATCGGGCTCCTGAGGTCCTGGGAAATGTGTCCAGGACACACGGAGATGGTCAGCTCCTGGGGATGCAGGCACGGAGCGCACTGGCTGCAGTTGGGACTGGCTGAGCCCGTTGCACCCGTGCTTAATTTTTGGGATTATTTCCGTCCTGCGGATGTGGGAGAGTGAGGCCCAGAGAGATTAAGTAACTGCTCACCGTCATGCAGCCAGGAGGCAGCGGGAGCACCAGGGACAAGGCTCCCACTGGGCAGTAGCTGTGGGCAGGAGGAGAAGGGGGGGACCCGGGGCCTTTTCAGGAGCCCCATCACAAGGGGGTCGGGGTGCGCTTGGTGCCGAGTTCTCCGGGGCGGGGCAGGTTGGCCAGCGAGTCAGCCACACCTCAGCCTTTGCCTTCCCAGCTCGAAAGCAGTTTTCTAAACGGAAGATTCAGGATGTCCTAGAAGAGCACAGCACGGACAAGGGCCCAGAAGCCAAGAGGAAGAAGGTGGAGGAAGGTGAGGCACCGGGCGGAGGGGTGCGCGCACGTGTGTGTCTGTCTGTCTGTCTGACTGCACAGAGGGAAGTCTGGAAGGGCGTGGCCCATCTGGGAGGACAAGGTGTTAGGACCCCACTGATTTGATGCCTGTGTCCATGAATGTAAATACGTCTGCCAACCCACACACCAATATGGGGCTTTATTAGAGCATTTTGGAATATAGTCACTTGGCTGTCTCAGTGTAGCTTCCATACAGTTTCCCACTTTTTATTGTTACTTTTTGGAAATACGTTCCTCTAAATCAGGGGTCCTCAGACGTTTTAAACAGGGGGCCAGTTCACTGTCCCTCAGACCGTTGGAGGGCCGGACTATAGTTTAAAAAAAAACTATGAACAAATTCCTATGCACACTGCACATCTCTTATTTTGAAGTAAAAAAACAAAACAGGAACAAATACAGTATTTGTATTTGCATGTGGCCCGCGGGCCGTAGTTTGAGGACCCCTGGGCTAAATGATCCCCTTTTCCCTTGTAAATTTTACCAGGAAGCAGAGGCTCCCGCGTTTTCCCAGACCCCGCGGTGACTCAGCCATTTTTTCATGGTGCCCGCGGCCGGTCCCAGACCAGTTCTGTGTACTAAGTAGTGGATACCCAAACCACTGTTTATGTTCTAGGAGCTCGGGCACTTGAGGAAAATAACACACATACGTGGAGAGGAAAATTAATATTTCTGTTTTATTCTTAAGTAGTCACAGTGGTTTATCATAGGAAGTCTCCTGGGCGCTGCACCGCTTCTCAGACTGGAATCCAGTTGCAGACTGCCACCCTCATTTCCTGTTTCCTGCCCCGTGCTGATTTCTGTGCAGTGCTTGGTTTTTATCACAGCAGCTAGTGAAAACCAGCTTTGCAAAAAATGTAACAGCAGAAACTGCAAGGAACGTGACCCAATACTGAAAACTAAAGTACCTTGACGTAGCAGTTCATCAGTGTGGGCACAAGTCCCCAGTTTCCGTTGCAAGTGTCAGGTATCCTGCGGTGTCCCTGTGAGTTCCTGCGTCTTGGTGACGAGGGAGCTGCAGTGATAAAGGTCTGATCGATTGATCGATCCTTTGGGGCCTGAGATTAGACCAGCTGCAGCCTTTGCCACTGTCGGTTTGTTTAATAAAAGGTCTTTATTAAGCTCATCTTTCCCGGGGGAGATTGCATTTCCTGTTGGCAATTTTTAGTCAATAATGAATTTTACTATGAATTGTCAGTGTCTGGGGATGTGGGGGTGGGTGGCTTTTTCTACTAAGATAAATTTTTCCCAAGTTTATACAACTTTTATTGTTTCCCTGATATGATTTTTTTCAGTCAGTTTAATTTTTTTAATTATAATCTGTAACAAGTTATCACATACAACTCCTATTCTGTGGTCTCTAATTCTAAAATAATTGTTTATAAGAAAAGGCTGGCCTTGCTCAGCTGCACAGGTGAACACGGGATTGGCTTCCCTTGGGGGTCCCCACCTCCCGTTCCTGTACAGCAGGCATGTCAAACTCAAAGGCTAACACGGGCCAAGTAAACGAGGCATGTAGCCCGTGGGCAGTGAGTTTGACATGCTTACTTTACAGACACACTTGATTGGCTCAAGAAAGAATAAAGGGGCAGAACGTCTTGGGAGGTGAAATGCCCTTGGGGGGTCAAAGTGACTTTTTGCCTTCTCGCTTCCTGTGTGTCCTCAGAAGCAGAGACCCCAACAGAAAACCTCCCACAGCCGGAAGGGGCCAAAGAGAAGAAAGCAGAAGAGGGGGACCTGCCCATGACGCCCCCCGAGCCCCAAAACGCCTGCAGTGAGTTTCAGATCCCCTTCCCCCTGCAGCCCCATCTCTGCTTTTGGGGTCAGATGTCTTGGTCGGACAATTCATTTAAATGAGACGTAGATTCTCAAGTGTGCTGTTTACATGTGGATTTTGGGTTTTATTATTGTTATTCTGCATGCATGTGAGAAAAAAAGAGCCAGTCATCCTGCAACAAAATACATCTCAGGAATCATAGGTACTGAGTAATTAGTTGAGCGATAATTTTTAAGTTGGACAACCAGGCTGAGTGCGGGGTTTAGAGGCCAGCCTGCCCCTCACCAGCCCCGCCATCCGGTGTCCGTGAGCCCCCTGAGTTAGGAACAACCCGTGGGCCGTTTTAGGATGCAGAGTGGTACCTGATTTTCCGCAGCTGCAGAAGTGGGGACATTTTCTCATCGGGCTGTGATGTCTTTTTACCCTTTCCATAGGTCTCCAGTTTGGGGTTAAATGCTAGAATCCCCTGAGTTAGTACCGACAAAAAAGCATCAGGCTCAAAGCTTGCTCTGGGCCAGTGGTTGGCAAACTGCGGCTCGAGAGCCACATGCGGCTCTTTGGCCCCTTGAGTGTGGCTCTTTCACAAAATACCGACTTCTGCGCATGGGCCACGAAGTTTCAATCGCACTGTAAGTGCGCGCCCGCACGTGGTATTTTGTGGAAGAGCCACACTCAAGGGGCCAAAGAGCCGCATGTGGCTCGCGAGCCGCAGTTTGCCAACCACTGGGCTCTGGGCAGAGGAAAAGGGCCGAGTTGGTGAGGTTTTCCATTTAGAGCAGTGGTTCTCAACCTCGGCTGCACATGAGAACCACCTGGGAATCTTTTTAAAATCCTGAATTCCGGGCCTCCTCCTCCGGAAATTCTGTTTGTTACTAATGTGGTGGCCCCACCCCATCACAAAGAAACAGAATTTCCGGAGGGTGAGGCCCAGAAATCAGGATTTTAAAGATTCCCAGGTGACTCTCATGTGCAGCCGAGGTTGAGAACCGCTGGGTTAAACAGTAAAAAGCTTCAGGGTGGAAACAGTTCGCAGCAGCACCGTCCGACCTCTCGCTTTAGAAGCCGAGCCGCCGACAGAAAGCGGCTCAGAGCCGGTGGTGGCGGTGAAGCAGGAACCCCAGGACGAGGAGCCGGCCAGGCCGCCCCCCAGAGCTCCCAAGATGCTCAGCAGTCTCTTCAGTGAGCTGCTCCTCCTGCCTCCCCTCCCCGGGCGGTGCTGGGGCGGTGCTGGGAGGGGGCGGGCCGGCCTTTCCCCAGCGAGAGCGGCAGGCCCCTTGGCCTTCCTGTGTTAGAAAGTCTGATGACTGCGTCTCCTGGCTTGTCGCCGGCTACTGAGCGTCGGGGACGGGTGTGGGATGGGGCTGTCAGGAGAAGGACCCACAATTTCCTGGCTTCCTTCCCAGCCCCCCGGAAGCCGGCAGTCAAACAGGAAGTGAAAGAAGAGGGGCCTGGCACCCCAAGAAAGGAGGCGTCCAAGGGGTGAGTCAGCGTCTGTTGAGTAGAGAGGACAGTGGATTGAAAAGATCCACTGTCCTCTACTGGGGATGTGCCCGCAACCAAGGTACATGCCCTTGACCGGAATCGAACCCGGGACCCTTCAGTCCGCAGGCCGACGCTCTATCCACTGAGCCAAACTAGTCAGGGCAGCGAGCTCCTTTTCTTGAACGTGTGCTGTGTCAGGTCCAGCTACAGGCTCTCTTCCTCTGCGGCAGTCCTGCGGCGGAGGCAGGTAGTTTAGCCTTTTCACAGGCATTGGAACCAAACCGCTTTGATTTTACTCTAAGCCTCCAAAAAGGAGATGGATAATCACAGAAAATTTTCAGCTTTAATTATACTAATACTAATAAAAAAATGTTTGGGGGATTCTTAACGTCAGTGTTGCACCCCAGTGGAGACCTAACTGAGATTAAGTGGCATCGTTTCAGCGTGTGACTGCACTGCAGCCAGCTCCTTTTCTTTCTTTTTTTTTAAAATATATTTTATTGATTTTTTACAGAGAAAGGGAGAAGGATAAAGAGAAACATCGATATGAGAGAGAAACATCGATCAGCTGCCTCCTGCACGCCCCCTACTGGGGATGTGCCTGCAACCAAGGTACATGCCCTTGACCGGAATCGAACCCGGGACCCTTCAGTCCGCAGGCCGACGCTGTATCCACTGAGCCAAACCGGTCAGGGCAGCGAGCTCCTTTTCTTGAACGTGTGCTGTGTCAGGTCCAGCTACAGGCTCTCTTCCTCTTCCTCTACGGAGGAGGCGGGTAGTTTAGCCTTTTCACAGGCGTTGGAACCCTGAGCCCAGAGAGGTTAGGTCGGCTTCCCGAGTCCCACAGGGAGGTGGGGGTAGGCCAGGCCTGGGACTCATGTCCCCGATTCCTAAGCCTGGGCTCTCCCTTCACCACTGCCCCGCCATGCCTCCTGGGCGTGCGTCTGTGCTTGTGCATGTGTACAGACGTTTCTCTACCATAGACGACGTCTTATGTCTCCCTCCTTATTTCCTGTGATACTGCGACCCTTTTCTTACCTCACTCCCAGCCTGATCACTTGTCTGTGCCTGATGGCTGCCTGTAGGTGGCAGGCCGACCTGCGGGACCTCCAGTTCTCACCTTTGAAGTGGGACGTATCGATGACAGGAAGTTAACATCCACTGTTATCCTGTCCCAGGCGCTAGGCCGTGGGCCTCTGTGCTCCTCTCGGCACCGGGGTGTGTCGATGCTGTCGGTACCCTTTTCGCAGCGAGGGGAGTGAGCGTGGAGGCAGGGCAGCGTCGTGGAGAGCTGAGAGCCCGCTCCACCCTTGCCAGCTGTGTGGCCTCGGGGGTGACGGCCTCTGTGCCCGTCTCCTCCTGAGGGCGGAAGCATGTAGACTAGGCTTCGGCTCCGGCCAAGCTCAGCAGGTTTATAGCGGCTGCTGTTACTACCGTTATTACTATTACTTGATTTTAGGGCCTTGCTTAGGCCGCAAACGGGGAGTGTGGCAGAGTTGGGATTTGAAGCAGGCAGTCTGGCTGTAGTTTCCTACCCAGCATGCTCTGCTGCCTCTTATTGAGGTAACAATAGAAACAGCCAGGACGGCTACACTTATTCGACACGGGGTCTGTACAGTTCACCGTGCACAGCCCTGCACCTGCTCCATCCACAGTCCTGTCTGCAGGAGAATCAGCGGAAGAGCTGAAAAATCTGGAGTCTTCCATGTGCCCTTCGGTCCCCAGTTTTGGAATAGATACAGGCCTGAGGCTGGGAGTCAGGGTTACATTTATTTATTTAAAATATCCTCGCCGGAGGATATTTTTTTCCATTGACTTTTTAGAAAGAATGGAAGGGGGTTGTGGGGGGGGGGGAGGGAAGAGAGAGAGAGAAACATCAAGGAGAGGGAGACATTGATTGGTTGCCTCCTGCATGTGCCCGGACTGGGGTCGGAGAGCAAACCTGCAGCACAGGTACCTGCCCTTAACCGGGAATCGAACCTGCGACCCTTCGGTTTGCAGGCAGATGCTCTAACCATTTAGAAACACCGGCCAGAGCATCAGTGTTGTGTTTCAAATAATCCCCACAAAATGCACCTCGCGAGAATCCTTACCCTATTTCTTCCTTAACCCTTATGACAACATGTCACTGTAGGATTTCGGTGGCTTCATTGTATAGATGGAGACACTGGTTTGGGGACGGAAGCTACTTCTCCAGGTGACACCGCTGGTTGGTGACGCAGCAGGGATTTGAACCAGATGGTCTGGCTGCAGTCGGGCTGTGCTGGCTCTGACAGGGTCAGCGTGAGGCTGTGATGTAGGGGTCAGCAGTCTGGAGCCCTGCTACTAGCTGTGTGACCGGGGGGAACTGCTTCACCACTCTGGGCCCCAGTTTCCTGGTCTGGAAATTGTAGAAGAGCCCGTACCTGCAGGACTGATTGCTAACAGCTGTGTGCTCTTAGCACAGTGCCTGGCACTTCGTGGCGCCCTGTGACCTCACCCTCGTGCTGCCCACCCAGAGTGAGCGAGGGAGGGCTGGTGAGAGGCCCAGAGGGATCGTAGGTCTCGTAGTGTGGACTCCAAAAACCATGCTCCACTATAACCACGCGGACCCCTTTTCTGTTCCTCAAACGTGTTGAGCGTGTCTCTACCTCAGGGCCTTTGCACTCGCTGTTCCCCCTGCCTGGGATGCTCGTTTCCCTGATAAACACTCTGCTCAGCTGTATCTGCTCAGGCCTTCCCCCACCCCCTCTGAAGTAGCATCTGTCACCCCGCTTTCTCCCGGTACTTGGTTTTATTTTGTTTTCTGAAATATTTTTTATTATCTAAAGCTACTTGTTTATGTTTTCTCCCCCAGACTCTCGCACTCGGATGTGAGCTCCAGGTTAGCAAACTTTCTTTTCATTTACTTCTGGGCCTAGAACGGTGCCTGGCCTTGGTAGGTGCTCGGGAAACGTTAGTCGGAGGAGCGGGCTTCCCTTCAACCCAGCGTCTACCTCATCTACTCTCCCTTTTGCCTCCGCAGCCCCCTGGACCCATCCAGCTACAACCCTGCCAAGAAAAACTACCACCCCGTCCAGGACGCGTGCTGGACGCGGGGCCAGAAGTGAGGCTTCGCCCTGCCCGCCCTGGCCGCCCTGCCGTACTCCAGTCCCTGTCGCTGCGGCGGCCTCTCAGGAGACCAGTCACAGGACACTGTCCAGGGTCTCCTGTGTTTTGGGGACACAGCAGCATTGAAGGGGACAGAGAGAACCCCGGGGAGCAGGCGGGATCAGGGGTGGGCATGCTTTTGGGTATCGCAAGGCCGTCCTCGGGGAGGCAGGCGGGTGGAGGGCAGCGCGGGTTTACATGCTCTTGTGTCTCCCGTCCCTCCCCAGGGTCCCTTACCTGGCTGTGGCCCGGACGTTTGAGAAGATCGAGGAGGTTTCTGCTCGGTAAGGAATCCAGCCGGCCGGCCGGGCGGGGCGGGTGCCTCCGGCTCTGCCCCTGGCCTGGCAGCCCCTCTCCTCCTCCAGGCTCCGGATGGTGGAGACGCTGAGCAACTTGCTTCGCTCCGTGGTGGCCCTGTCGCCCCCAGACCTCCTCCCCATCCTCTACCTCAGCCTCAACTGCCTCGGGCCCCCCCAGCAGGGCCTGGAGCTCGGCGTCGGGGATGGTGTCCTTCTGAAGGCGGTGGCCCAGGCCACAGGTGAGGAGGGGCTGCGGTGGACGTTCCGCGGGAGGGTCTGAGATGGTGGAGAGGCGGGAGGGTCTGAGATGGTGGAGAGGGCTCAGGAGGCAGCGAGTGAAGAGGACCTGGGACAGATGGCAGGGTGTGAGGGCGGTGCAGGTGAGGGAGACCTGGGCCCGCAGTGCGATGGGCCTGGGCCTGGGGCAGAGAGGAGCGGGCCTGGGGCAGAGAGGAGCGGCCGGGGAAGATGCCGCAGGCAGAGCACAGGATTTGGGGGCGGGCCTGGGGGTTGGGCTTAGGCTGGTAGTGGAGCTCCTAAAGGACCGAGCAGTAGAGCCCGGAGGGGCCCAGAGGTGAGGGAAGAGAGGGGTGCAGAGCCGGCGGCTTGCAGGGGCCGCGCCCGTGTTTATGGAGAGGCTGGCGGCGCGTGGGGCGGACCTGCCTGCCAGGGCGTCCAGGGCTTGGTGTTTGTTGTGAGGGACTTGGGAGCCACAGAAGGATTGTGAGCTGGCAAGGGGCGGGGGCCCGGGCAGTTCTGAGCCCGTGTGGAGCACGGACAGGAAGCTGGAGTCCGGGGAGCAGGCTGGGCGAAGGTCCAGGGGGAGGGGGAGGAGGAGCGGGGGCCAGGCCTGCAGGAGCAGAGGCGAGGGTGGCGTGGAGAGAGACAGGACGGGAGGGACCTGCGGGCTCGGGGGTCAGGGATCTTGCTTGACTGGGAGGATGGCGGAACCACCACCAGGACAGGGCACTGGTGAGGCGGACACGTTCAGGGAAGTGCGTCGTTTCACGTGGGCCTGTGTCTGGGCCGCCGACACGTGGGGAGCCACGTCCTCGGCACATTCACACCCACTCGCGAGCGCCTCCTCGTGGCCGGGACGCCTGCCCAGCCGCAGGCTTGTGAGAGTCGGGCAGCACTTTGGAAACGCTGCCACCGTCGGCAGGTCGTGTCTCCACATCACCCGCAACAGGAGGGTCACACTGGTCGCGCCTTCCGTGCGGTTCCACGTACAGGCACGAGCCCGACCACTCCGCCTGTCTGCTCACGCCTTGCAGCGCCGGGGCCGGGCAGCCTAAGACAGAGTGCCTGTTTCCTTCTGAGCTGCTTTCCCTCCATTCCTGTGTGTGTTAGAGTCAGGATTGTATCGAAACGATGTGTTGATAGGGCGTCAGCTCTGCGTTTCTTTTCAGCGTAGAAAAGAGACACAAAGTACCGTAGCAGTGAGGCGCCAAGGATGGGGCACAGAGGGCAGTGGGCGCAGCCTGTGGCCCCGCTGGGCAGCGACCCCAGCCTTGCAGCTGCCTGCTCCCAGCCTCTGCTGTGAGGAAAGGGGCGGTTGTCTCTGATGGGGTGAGAATGTGGTCACAGCTGTGGCAACTCACGGTGCCACTTCCCAGCCCCCGGCTCTTACATCCAGGGGTGCCCGTGGGCCCAGTCTGGGCAGTGAGTGAGGCCAAGACACATCTGTGTGTTTAAATTGGTGACTTCAGAAAGTTCAGCGTGGCCCTGGCCGCGAAGCTCCGTTGGTTAGAGTGTCATCCCGATACACCCAGGCTGCGGTTCGATCCCCGGTCAGGACACGTACGGGAATCGACCAATGAACGCGTAACTAAGTGGAGCAACACATCAATGTCTCTCTCTCTCTCTCTCTCTCTCTCTCTCTCTCTCTCTCTCTCTCTCTCTTCCTGTTTCTTCCTCTCTCTAAAATTAGTAAATAAAAATTTAAAAAAGGCTAACAAAAGAAAAAGCAAAGGCCTTTTGGACACTGGGAAGTGTTCACGGTCAGCTAGGGGGCAGGCAAAGGGTCCTTCGGCCTCCTCTGTCTACACTCGCCCCTGGTAACCTCATCCTACCCCGTGGCTTTGACTCCCACGTGCACACTGACGCCACCACTCCAGCCTCTCCCCTGGTGTGGACGGGTCCGTCCCGCTGCTCCCCGCACTCCACGTGAACGTGCAGTAGGCCTCTCACCGATGCAGTGGAGACGGGTGTGGGATGAGCCCCTTCAGGAAGTGGGCGGGCTCTGGGAATGGGGGGGTTGGGGGCTCGCCACGGGCACATGTAGCTGGAGAAAATGCCAGAGAGTCGCCGTGCAGCCACGGGCCTCACCCTGCTCCTCACGCTCTGCCCCCAGGTCGGCAGCTCGAGTTGGTGCGGGCTGAGGCCGCCGAGACGGGCGACGTGGGGCTGGTGGCCGAGAACAGCCGCAGCACCCAGAGGCTCATGCTGCCCCCGCCCGCCCTCACCGCCTCTGGGGTCCTCGCCAAATTCCGAGACATCGCCCGGCTCACTGGCAGCGCTGTGAGTGGGGGAGCGGCCCTGCCCCCGGGGACCCAGGGCCAGGCCTGTGGCAGGGGGGTGGGGGCGGCTGGTCAGACTTTCCGGGGCTGGATCGCATCAGCTCTGTGAGGGATGCAGAGCTTCCTTCTCCTCCCCGCTCAAGGCTGCGGGAACCTCCTCCTGGGATCCTGGCACCTGACCTAGTGCCAGCTGTGTGACAGGACTCGGTCATTTGCTGACCAAAGCTAGGGAGGCAAGGAGAGCAGGCCCTTTACTGAGCATGCGGCTGGGGGAGCAGGGAAGGGGTGCAGCGAGGGGGCAGGCGCTCCAAGGGCGGCATCTCTCCAGGCAGCTGGATGGCCGGGAGGAGGTGGGGTCCTCTCCCTGCCCCCTGGGCCTGACTGCTCTGCCCCCACCTCTTCAGTCCACAACCAGGAAGATGGACATCATTAAAGGCCTCTTTGTGGCCTGCCGCCACTCAGAAGCCCGATTCATCACCAGGTGAGTGTGTGGGCTGTGAGGCGGGGGGAGGAGGAGGCGGGAGGATGGGCAGCTGGAGCCCTGCGGTGCCTGGAGCTCTGAGATGGGAGCAGCATGCGCTGGGGAGGAGCCAGCCCTTGGGAGTGGGGACACAGGTCCCCTCGGGCCAGCTCCTCCTGGGTGGTCCTGCCCGGGGAAGAATCGGGCTTGTGGGTGGAGAGTGCCACGATCGATTAGTGATGTCTGCCTTGGCCTGAGCCCGGCAGTGAGCCTGGGGGCCAGGTGGTTGCCATGGCAGGGAAACGCCATTGACAGCCTGGAGGTTTCTGGTGCCCTGACCTGGGCCACATGCGCCATCCCATCAGTGCCTCCTGCAGCTCTCGAGGCAGGCGCTTTCCTCACCCAGACTACAGAGGGGAGGCGGGGCACGGGGGGGTAAGCCTCGCCCTCCAGGTCCCTGGCTCGGGTGAAGGCCTGTGCCCGCGACAGGTCCTTGCCCATCACACACTTGTCACCACTGCAGCAGGCTGCTGTGTTCTGGTTCCAGGCTGGCTTTGCCCCTCCCCCTCCCCAGAAAGCCTCACCCCTTTCTCAGATGAGATGAGAGGCCACGACACCTGGAGGCACGTGGTTCTGCCCCAGGAGGTGCCAGGGGTGCTTGTTCTGGCCTCGGTTTCCTCACCTGTTAAGTGGGGCTGTGGTGTTTGGGCCCCCTCTGGCTCTGAAGCTGGTTTTGGTGTGAGGAGAAGGTCTCCAAAGGGTGGAGGTGGGGGAGCCTGGAGGAGAGGAAGGTGTGGGGGGCAGGATTGGACAGGTGTGCGCAAGCCCACGGCCCTCACCTGCTCTCTCCCAGAGCCCTGAGTGGACGGCTGCGCCTCGGGCTGGCAGAGCAGTCGGTGCTGGCCGCCCTCGCCCAGGCCGTGAGCCTCACGCCTCCAGGCCAAGGTGAGCCCCCATGGGGTCCAGTGCCCACCCCTTGAGTTAACCCAGGCGCTCCTCTTCCTCTGAAGCCCACACACCCCTCCCCGGTGGCTCTGCCTCCTGCTGCCACTCCAGACCTTCCCTGTTCCGTTCCTTGTCTGCAGCACCCCACCCACTGTGGACCCTGGGGGGGCTGCGGGGGTTGGGCCATCCCAAAGCCTCTTCTGTTGGCTCTTGTCTTAGAATTCCCCCCGGCCGTGGTGGATGCTGGGAAGGGCAAGACAGCAGAGGCCAGAAAGACGTGGCTGGAGGAGCAAGGCATGATCCTGAAGCAGACGTTCTGGTGAGACCCGGGGGCCGCTGGGGACCGAGGCACAGCGAGGGGTCAGATACGTGCGGCCTGACAGGCTCCAGGGAGGGCCGTGTGGGGGGACCGGGCCTGCAGCCTCCACAGCGAGACGGTGGCAGCCCAGAGAGTGTCAGCGGCAGGAGGGTCGATGAGCAATTCCACACATGCCCACGGGGCACCTGCTCTGGGCCGGGACCACAGGGTGCTGGGCACCGGGCAGTGAGCAGCCCTGCAGAGCCCCCAGGCCTGGGCAGGGGTCTCAGGTCTGCCTGCGCATGGGGATTGCAGACGTGCTCTCATTCTCCCCCGCTCACCCACCAGTAAATCGGCACCTCTGGGAGGTGGAGCCTGGCCTGGAAGAAATACTGTGTTTTGTTTTGCTTTTAACGTCCTTGAGTGCTTCTAGTGTAGTCAAGATGACAGATGGCTGAAGGCAGCTCAGACTGAGGGACATAGGGTCAGAGGGATGTGTAGGGACACAGGGAGGACGGGGGCAGATAGCAGAGGCAGGGTGACGAGGAGTCAGGGAGAGGGGAGCCGAGCAGGGGACAGAGGAGGGAGAGGTGGGGGCTGCCCAGGGACCAGGGGACAGAGGAGTCTGGGAGAGGTGAGGGCCGACCAGGGGCCAGGAGACAGGAGGAGTCAGGGAGAGGGGAGCCGACCAGGGGACAGAGGAGGGAGAGGTGGGGGCCAACCAGGGGACAGGGGACAGGGGACAGGCAGGCAGAGGTGAATCTTACAGCCTGAGAGCAGAGCTTCCAGGCTGCCAGACTTTCGAGCTCTGCAAGGACACCTCCCACCTTGTTCTCCCCCCCCCAGCCAGGTGCCTGACCTGGACCGGATCGTCCCGGTGCTGCTGGAGCACGGCCTGGAAGGGCTCCCGGAGCACTGCAAGCTGAGCCCAGGTACAAGCCACCCGGGCCTCGGAGGCTGACCACAGCCTCACCCTGTGCACCGCTGGCTCGGGTGGGCGCTGGGGCTGCCCCTCCTTCAGGCTCCCCTCCCTCCTCCGGGCCTTGGCTTCTGCCTCCGGGGGCTGGGAGGGCCACTCCTCTAAGAGCCCGCACAATCTTCTTTGTCCCCGGGGAGGAGTGTTCCCGGGGGCCCAGACCCATTCCTTCCCCTGGAGCCCCGCTCTGTGCTGGGTCGGGAGGAGGCTGCTGTCGCCAGGATTCCCCAGGGGCAGTGGTCAGGCCGGACAGAATCTCACACACGAGTCCAGAGGAAGGCAGCGGCCAGGGAGGGCTGCCAGCTATGCTCTGGGATCCCCAGGGACCCAGGTTTCTTCTCCTGCCACCCTGTCACCCCAAGGTTGTCACCCTAATGCACGTGGTCACAGATGGCTGACGTCTCTGTTCTAGATACGGAAAGAGAGAGGGCACAGCCAGGGTCCTGTGGGTGTGACCCAGACCCTGCACGCACCGCTTGTGTGCATTCAGCAGTCGCACAGTTGGTGGCCCCTCTGCCCCTCTGCCCTAACGCTCCCTCTCCTCCCCTCCCAGGGGTCCCCCTGAAACCAATGTTGGCCCACCCCACCCGGGGCGTCAGCGAGGTCCTGAAGCGCTTCGATGAGGCAGCTTTCACCTGCGAGTACAAATACGACGGGCAGAGGGCACAGGTATGGGGGGCGGGCACATCCCTTCAGCAGAACGGACAGGGCCGGAGAGCAGGGCGTGGGGGCAGTCAGACCCAGCCCAGACCCGGCCCGTCTGCCCTGCACGCCTCTCGGGGCTCAGTGCCCTCCTCTGTGCAACGGGTGCAATAACCACCCCCTCACTGGCTGATTTGAAAATCGATTTTATTTGGTAAAATCAAAATTCCTGACCCACAGCAGTGGGCGCTCAGGAAGGGTCCGCTGTGCTCGGGCCCTGCTGGTGGGTGTCTTCCTGTCACAGACGCCGCGTAGCCGTAGAGAGACAGGGTGAGTCCTGTGACCCAGGCCTGGGGGCGGCCTGTCGGGCCTAAGGGTGCTCAGGTGGCTTTTCTGTTCATCGCCTGCGGCTGGCTGGGCCCCAGGTCACAGGTGGATCTTCAGAACACAGAGAAAAAATAAAATGACTTACGGCAGTGACAGTGACTTGAAATATACATACATGTTGTAAGTCATATATGTGTTACACCCCGCATAATTATTTCTCGCGATAACAAACGTATAAAATGGCATCGATGTAGCTCTGCTTGAGCACTGTGACCAGGCTGTATTACAGTAAATACAGTAACAGTAAAACCCAGGACAGTAGTCACAGCATAACATCCAGACAAATCACACAGAAAGACCCTTGTGCGGACGGAGGGGGGTGGGCCTGGGATGATGAGAGGACGGGGGTGGGAGATGCTGTTCGAAAGGAGACGATTTGCTCAGGTCTCTGCACCAGTCCTCCTTCAGAGCTTCTGGGACCTTCCACAGTAAAGTGGGGTCAGAAGAGAGAGGAGGGGCTGCCTGGGCTGGACTGGGTTCTGACGTCCTCTCCCCTCCCCCACTGCCAAAGATCCATTTTCTGGAAGGCGGGGAGGTGAAGATCTTCAGCAGGAATCAGGAGGACAATACCGGAAAGTACCCGGACATCATCAGCCGCATCCCCAAGGTGGGTGTCTGCCACCCCCTTCTCTCTCTCCCCTGCGGCGGGGGCTGCGGTGACTGCTGCAAGGAACCGGGGTGGGTCCAGGCCAGCTCGGTGCAGCCGGGATATGGGTCTGTGTGCACGTGTCTCTGAGTTCTGTTTCAAGTGGTCAGTGGACCTTGAGAGCTACAGCAGGAAAAGGACATTTGTTTCCCCGCGTCTGCCTTTTGGCCTCGGCTCCACCTCTCACCAGCCCTGGGTTCCCCCTTCTACTTTCAGATTAAACTCCCGTCAGTCACATCTTTCATCCTGGACACAGAAGCTGTGGCTTGGGACCGGGAGAAGAAGCAGATACAGCCGTTCCAAGTGCTCACCACCCGCAAACGCAAGGTAGCCTCAGCCCCTTCACTGCCTGCCGTGGCCGCGCCCTCCCTCTTCTTCCTCCCAGTCCTGCCCACTCCCCAGAGGGTCAGAGTGTTCCCCAGGACGCAGGTCTCAGCCAGTGCAGTATGGCTGCCACAGCTCCAGCCATTGCATCCTCATCCCAGCAGGCCAAGTAGAAAGCAGGAAGAGCTATTTTCCTACATCTCTGTGTTTTATTATGAAAGAAGGTCTGTTCCAGGAGCCCCCACAGCCTACACCCCAGCAAACTTCTTTATTCTCATTGGCCAGCATTGTGTCATGTCACCACCATTAGCTGCCAGGGAGGCTGAGAGAGCAAATACCTGACAAAGGGGAAGAGGTTGGGATCAGCTGAGAGCCATCACCGTCCGGTGTCTGGGGCTGGCAGCATTGCCACCCTCGCAGCTGTGTGGCCCGTTAGGTGGGAGCAGGGGAGAGTGGTAGGTGACAACAGTGTCTGCCTCAGGCAGGATGGGAGGGGACCCAGTCAGGCCCGACTCACCTTTCCCCACCCCTGCTCTCTTCTGCCCCAACCCAGGAGGTGGATGCAGCGGAGATCCAGGTGCAGGTGTGTTTGTACGCCTTCGATCTCATCTACCTCAATGGAGAGGTGAGTCCCGGCTTCGCTTCCCGGGGCAACCGAGGGGTGAGCTTGGGAGCCAGGAGCCTGAGTTTCACTTCTCTGTCATGTCACTGAGATGGGAGGCCACTCCTGGGCAGTCGTGCTCCGTGGTCCAAGGAGTTGCGTGGGTCCCCGGGACCCTTCAGGGCTCTGGGAGGCCCTCCCTACCCAACTGCACATCTGTGAGGCGGGCTTTTCCCATGTGGTGTGGCTGCCTGAAGCAGATGTGAGGATCCAGACCGTGTTAAGACAATGTTTTTGAGATCATCACTTTTATTATATATTTATTTATTATTTTTTGTAGTGCGGTCACTTTCTCTCTTTTTTTAAATTTTGTTTTATTGTATTATTATTTTTTAAATTTATTTTTATTGATTTCAGAGAGGAAAGGAGACGAGGAGAGAGACAGAAACATCAATGAATCGAACTGTGACTTCCTGGTTCATAGGTTGACACTCAGCCACTATGCCACGCTGGCCAGGCATCATCATCATTATTATTTAAATGTTTTTTTTGTTTTTGTTTGTTTGTTAATATATATTTTTATTGATTTTTAGAGAGGAAGGGAGAGGGATAGAGAGATAGAAACAATGATGAAAGAGAATCATTGATTGGCTGCCTCCTGCACGCCCCCTACTGGGGATCGAGCCCACAACCCAGGCATGTGCCTTTGGCCGGAATCAAACCTGGGACTCTTCAGTCCACAGGCCGGTGCTCTATCCACTGAGCCAAACTGGCTGGGGCTGTTTTTTTTTTTTTTTTTTTTTTTGAGAGGGGAAGGGAGAGGGATAGATAGAAACATCAATCAGGTGCCTCCTGCACACCCCCTACTGGGGATCCAGCCTGCAACCTTGGCACGTGCCCTGACTGGAAAATTGAACCTGTGACCTTTTGGTTGTTCATGGGTCGACACGCAACCACTGAGCCACACCAGCTCTCCCCTCCTAGCTGTGTTGCTGCAGATGACTGGCTCAGCCTCTCTGTGCCTCAGTTTCCTTACCCGTAATTGAAGAGCTAACAGTAGCACCTGCTCTGTTACAGGCAGGTTAAGTGGTTAAGTGGGACATGGGCGTGGATCACCAGGGCTGGCACATGGAAGCTTTGATACAATTAGCTGCCGTCACCGTCTTCCTCCCGATAATCCTTGACGATCTGGTAGCTGAAGAGTGACAACTTTCCCTGCCCACTTCCTAGCGAGGTGGAGCGTCTTCGGGCTCGTGGGCCACGGCATTTGTTCTGTGACTTGCTTGTCTGTGGGTTCTTATTCGTGTCTTTCTCCAGGAGGCCAGTTCGTGGCCCTGATGCTGAAATGCACCCAGTGCCTAAACCACCCTCCTTATGATGCAAATGGAAACAGCGTTTAACCTCAGAAAGGAACTGTAGGAAGACCCGTGGGATTCTGACTGTTTCCCAGGGCCCTTGGGGGGAAATCTCAAGTATTAGACGCTCTGCGGTTTTCCCTTCAGGTTTTGATTGTCCCTGCTCTGCGGGGTCCTTTGTGTCATGAGCATTACAAATATTTCTTCTTCTTTGGTGTTTGCCTTTTAACTTGATTGATGGTCTTTTTTGCTGCATAGAACTTGTTTTTAACTATCATTTTGTCTTTAGTCAAGCATAACATTTCCCCCCCTTAATGCATTCTCATCCCTGAGATTAAAGAAGGAAACAAGTCATCCTTTTCCTAGGATTCTAAAAGCTTTCACTTAGCTTTTCTTCTGGTATCTTCCCAGTTTTGTGTTCTAGTGGGATTGGCACGTGTGTGCGTGTCAGGCAGGATCTGAGTAAATCTGTGTGCAGCCCTTTAAGAGGAACACCTGGGACTCCTGTAGCCCCCATGTCACTCAGCCACATCCCTGCTGGTTTTTATAGCAAAAGTTACGGGGACTTTTCTTCCCAGCACTGGAACTCTGGGCTGGGGGCCTGGTGTGGGGCTGGGACCCCTCGCTCCCCAGGGAAAGCTTCACAGCCAAGATATCCCTCCCAATTTTAAACCGCCATGTGGATATGGCACCAGCTGGTTGCTTGATTTTGCCCCGCCTACCAGTCTTGATGTGCTTCTTCTTTAATTCCTTAGTCGTAGGACTTCCAGCCAGATTTCAGGTGGTTCTGAATGATGGTGGTTCTGTATTTTAGTTGTAAATTTCGATGTAGTTGTGGGAGGTGGTGAGTACTACGTTTACCTATGCTGCTATTTTCCCTACTTCTTTAAAAAATGTTCTTTATTAATTTGAGGGCGGGGGGTGGGGGGGAGGAGAGAGGAAATAACCCACATTGATTTGCTGCTCCACTTATGCATTCACTGGCTGGTTCTTGTATGTGCCCTGACTGGGGATCGAACCCAAAACCTTGGTGCATTGGGACAATACTCTAACCAGCTGAGCTACGTGGCTCCAGAAATTCCAAAGTTAAAAAGTGGTCACACTGTGTGTCTATTAGTTCCCAGCACAGTGCCTACCAGGGCGGGCAGTCAGTTGCACATTCAGCTTCTTTCTGTCCTAAGGGGCCGAGTTGAGGTGCTGTGACAAAGATGGGAGTATCCCGCAGAGCTGAGAATATAGTAGAATTTGGTTCTTTATGGGAAGAGGTTGCTGGCTGTGCATTAACAGAGAAAATACCCTCTCGGGAGCATGTCTGTTACAGCATAATGATCGTTGGCTTCTTTCTGCCTTGATTCAACTGGTGTTTAAAAAGGAACCATCGTCTTAGTTACAAGAGACCGTGGCTCCAGCAGGGCCGTGGCTCCTGTCTTATGCCCCTGGGGCCCCCGGGATCTGAATGGTTTCTAGCCCCCGGGCCCTGGCCAGCCTGTACTTAGACTCTCAGGACCTAATGTCGGCTGGTTCTCCCCTCTCCAGGCTCTCCTTAGCTCCCTGTGACTTGTGCTCCCTGTTTTGGGGACTTTTCTCTCTCTTTCCACAATGGCGTCCCTCCCTCTCGCCCGCCCCTCAGTCCCTGGTCCGTGAGCCCCTTTCCCGACGCCGGCAGCTGCTCCGGGAGAACTTCGTGGAGACGGAGGGCGAGTTTGTCTTCGCCACCTCCCTGGACACCAAGGACATGGACCAGATCGCGGAGTTCTTGGAGCAGTCGGTGAAAGGTGAGGGCCCCGCTCCCCTCCCCTCTGTGGTCGGGAGCCGGCCTGTGGTCCCGGCCCACCCTGGACGGTTCGCCCCGAATCCTGCCTGCTCCGGCCGCTGTGAGCCCTGGCTTCACAGGGCGGCGCTGTGTCTCCTCAGACTCCTGCGAGGGGCTGATGGTGAAAACCCTGGACGTCGACGCCACCTACGAGATCGCCAAGAGATCGCACAACTGGCTCAAGGTGACTGTCCCCCCAGCCTTCCCGCTGAGCCCTGTCGCCCCAGCCTTCCCGCTGAGCCCTGTCCCCCCAGCCTTCCCGCTGAGCCCTGTCCCCCCAGCCTTCCCGCTGAGCCCTGGACCCCCCCCCAGCCTTCCCGCTGAGCCCTGGACCCCCCCAGCCTTCCCGCTGAGCCCTGGACCCGGAGATCTTTCCCGACCGGGACGTTGACTTCAAGTCCTACACTTCACCCTGTCTGAGCTCAGGAGCCTTTTCCTGAACCCTCTGCCTCGCGCTGCAGCCTCAGGTCTCCCCCCTGCAAGTCCTTGTTAATGAAATCGCCCGCTCAGTGCCCCGAGGCCGCAGTGGGAAAGCCCGATGAGGTTTCTCTTCTCCCTCCCCGAGCCTGCCTTCCATGTCGGGCCGTCCACGTCACGTCGGGCAAGGCGGTCAGCAGGGCACAGGGAGGCAGAGTCCAGTAGTGATGTCCGCTGAGAATGGACATGGAGCGGGCATCTGAGTGAAGAAAGAAGTCAGCTCAGGGGCAGCGAGGGCAATTGGAAAAGCCTCTCCAGAGGCCACATTTGGGTCAAGACACAGACGAAAGGACAGGTCGGCCGCGTGAGGATCAGAGCAGCCATCCAGGCAGGGTGCGCGGCAAGTGCAAAGGCCCTGGGGTCGGAACAAGCTCGGTGTGTAAGGCAGCGAGGCAGTGGCTGTGGGGTCAGGGTGGAGAGCAGGCCCCGATCACAGCGCATGGGGGCCGTGGAAAATAACACTGGGGCTTCCTCTGGGTTTCGGAGGCCAGCAGAGGTTCTGGGCAGAAGGCACGTGACCTGCTTGTCGTTTTTCACAGGTGCTCTGGCTGGTCCGTGGGTGGTGATGGGTGTGGGTGCTGGGCAGGAACAGGAGCACAGCGGGAGGCTGTTGGGTAGGAATGACGGAGGCTGGATGGAGAGGACATGAGGGGCAGGAGGACTGGAGCAGGGCAGGGCTTGGAGTTGAGCTGGCCAGGCCTGCACCTTTATGAGTCGTCTGTGGTCTGTCTGCCCCCACAGACTGTAAGCAGCTCTGAGGGCAGGAACCTTTCCTGTCTCAGGACACAGCCCCTATGCGTCCCCGAGGCCGAGCTCCTGCCCGGCTCACAGTTGGCGCTAACTAGTGTTTCCGGAACGAACGGGGGATAAGTGTTCTCTGTGTGACGGAGTGAGTGGAACCTGTCTCCGTCTGAGGGAAAGGGATCCAGCATGACCCCAGGTCTCCCCCCCGCGCCCCCCCAGCCCCCGTCGCACCTGCTCCTCCCGTGGCATCGCCTCTTTCAGCCTAGATGCCCGTTCCGTGTCCATTCTCAGGCCACACTCGGTCTTCTTTACGGAAACTCCTCTCCAGCCTCTCCCAACCCACCACTTCCGCGATTCCCCCCTCACCGCCCGCCCTCCCTCCCCCCAGCTGAAGAAGGACTACCTGCAAGGCGTGGGGGACACCCTGGATCTCGTGGTGATCGGCGCCTACCTGGGCCGGGGGAAGCGGGCCGGCCGCTACGGGGGCTTCCTGCTGGCCGCCTACGACGAGGAGAGCGAGGAGCTGCAGGCCATCTGCAAGGTGCGGGCTGGGCTGGGCTGGGCAGGCGCCGGGGTGGGCTCCACGGCCGGGGGCCGGGTCGGCGGCTCTCACCTCTGTTTCCCCTCGTTCTTATTTACTTTTTCTGGAGAACTTGCTTCATGTAGAAAAACGGGCGAGTATAGGAAGATGCGAGGGAGCCGTGTGGGTTAGGAACGGAGTCAGACAGTGAGGCCTAAGGGGGAGAGGGGTTTCTTTTTCTCTCGTGTAATGGAAGGCCTGGAAGGGGCAGGCCGCTCGCCGGTGGCATGAGGGACACGGGGACACGGGCTGCTGCTCTCCCCGCAGTGGGCTTGCCACGCGCTTCAGCCTCTGCTTCACAGCGTGGCTGCAGGACGGACATGGGCCTCCGGAGTCCGCCTCAGCCAGTGAGCAACTTCTGGGAAGGTGCGTTGGTCAGAGCTCTGCTCCTGGCCCAGCCCCTCTGCAAGGGATCCTGGGAAACGTCGTTTCTTTTTCCTTCGTTTAAAGCTGCACACATTTGGCACAGAGAGAGAGTACGCTGTCACCTACAATCCCAGTACCTGGAGGGAACACTCTATCTTTACAAAATTGTGATCCTTCTCCACGAGTAGTTCTCTTTACTGCTTTTTGCCCTAGAATAGCGGTTCTCAACCTGTGGGTCGCAACCCCTTTGGGGGTCAACCGATCCTTTCACAGGGGTCGCCTAAGACCATCGGAAAACACATATATAATTACATATTGTTTTTGTGATTAATCACTAGGCCTTAATTATGTTCAATCTGTAACAATGACATCGGGGTCACCACCACATGAGGGACTGTATGAAAGGGTCGCGGCATTAGGAGGGTTGAGAACCACTGCCTAGAAGTACTGTGTTTCAGTGCTATCCCTGCCTGAGTCCTAGAGATGGAAAACGTGGGGTTTCTCCAGGCCGTTCAGCACTTCATGCGTGTGTGATGGGACTGCGGCCCTGATCGTTTAGCCGCAGCCGGGCCCCGGTTTCCCGAACCAGCGCCTGCGGTGGGGGGTGGGGGTAGCTGTTGCATTGCCACCTGTTCTCCTAAGTCAGCACTGTGCGCGCGTTAACTCTTAGTCTGTGACAGAAGAGACTTTACAATCCACAAGTATCTGTGGCCGCCAATCTGTCACCATTTTACATAATTTATTAGAATAGTTTTCTGCAAGAGCTGCTGCTGGGACAAAAGTGAGAAAAATTTTATTTTTATTAAAAAAATGTTAAATATATTTTTATTGATTTCAGAGAGGAAGGAAGAAGGAGCGAGAGATAGAAACATCAGTGATGAGAGAATCATTGATCGGCTGCTTCCTGCATGTCCCCTACTGGGGATTGAGCTTACAACCCGGGCATGTGCCCTGACCAGAATCAAACCATGACCACCTGGTTCATAGGTCAATGCTCAACCACTGAGCCACACTGTCCAGGCAAAAGTGAGAAGATTTGAAGGCTCTCAGTTCAAAGGGCTTTCTGTTGACATTTTAGATCAGTGGTTTGAAGTTGTCCATCTTGCTATTTTGCCCGCATCAAGGGGTATTTTTTAGCCTTGACTGTCTGGGTGGGTGAAGAAAAACTCTTGGCAGTGTTCCCATTGGACATGACACCAGTTACGGGGCAGGTGGGATGTCGGGCCCAAGGGAGTGACTTCCGGGCAAGGGAGACAGAGCAGAAGGAGCAGGGACCCTGAGATTTGTCTCCACCCCGGGTCTGGGAGGGGATGGCTGGATGCTCAGCACCCGGTGGTTTCTGTGGGTGCTGGTTAGGCTGGAGCGGGCTGGGGGGGCTGGTGTGCGGATTCGGGGCCTCAGTGGAGCAGGGAGGCAGTGCTGGCCGCTGACCTGCCCCGTCCTTCCGCAGCTGGGAACCGGCTTCAGCGACGAGGAGCTGGAGGAGTATCACCAGACCCTGCAGGTGAGCGGGCGGGCCTGCGCCTCTGCGGCGGGCTCTTGGCTCTGGTGAGCTCGGGCTCTGGGTGCCACAAGCAGGGGGCAGTGCAGCCGGCTTTGGGGTGCAAGTCCCAGCCGTGCCGGCCACTAGCCAGTGCTGCCCGCCAGTCAGGGGCCCCATCTCCCCAAGCTCAGGGCCTCGGCCGCAGCCGGGGGCAGTCTCGGGGGAGGGCGCTCTTGTGGGGTTCCCCAAGCCGATCCTTAGGGTGCTGGCTGAGCTGCTAAGTGGGGGTGTTTGTGGTCAGGGTCACAGGTGTTTTGGGTGTGACTGTCTTTTGTGCTGGTGTCTGTGATTCGATTCCTGTCCATTCTTTGGTGTTCTCTCTCTCTCTCTCTCTCTCTCTCTCTCTCTCTCTCTCTCGGTCTCTGTCCCCACCTCTCGGGGTCTCTGCCCCTCTCTCTACCTCTGTCAGTCTTAATTTCTCATTTCAGCTCCCAGAGTCTCTGTCTTGCGTTTATTCCTTCTCCCATTTCTCCCCACCCCACTCCTGGCCCTGTACCTTAAGGAGTGTCTGTGTCTCCATCTTCCCCCATTTACCTCACTTCCCAACCCCCCAACCCTCCATCTTATTCTGAGACCCGAGACCCTCTCTTCCACCTCCTGCTGCTCCCTGCAGGCCCGGGTGCTGCCCACCCCCCGCTCCTACGTCCGGGCAGACGGCGCCGTGGCCCCGGACCACTGGCTGGAGCCCAGCACCGTGTGGGAGGTCAGGTGCGCGGACCTCTCCCTCTCGCCCATCTACCCCGCTGCCCGCGGCCTGGTGAGTGACTGCGCCTGGGGGAGACGCTCCAAAGAATTCCAGACGGGAGGGAGGGGGCCCTGCGGACGGCTCCCCTTCCTGGGGGGTGACTTGGAAACCGTGAGCTTGCATTTTATTTGGGAGTCAGATAACAGGGTCAAAAGTCTCTTTTTTTTTTTTTTTAAGAGAAATGCCCCAGGAGTAGAAAGAAAACAGTGAAATTGCTGTTTCACACTCGGCTCTTATGTAATTTTTGAAAACACAGCTCTTTTAAGTAAAAGCTGATGACACATCCTGTTACATTTCTTTAACTGTGTGAATTCCCACACCACCTTGTTGTCCAGTCCCTTCTCTCACTGGTGGTTCAGCCCTCGCCACGCGCTGGGGGGCCGGGGCCGCGGAGGCGCTGGGCCTATCGCAGGCTCTGAGCTTCCTCCTCCTGCAGGAGAAGGGGTCTCGCGTTTACGTGTGCCTCCTTTGAGGTTTCTTCGGATCTGTCCGTCTCGCCGCCGCTTTCCTGGTTAGAAGCGGGCTCCGTTCAGAGGCGGAGCCTGTGTTTGGGATCGCATTTCTTCTCACTCATGAGGTCAGGGTCCCTGGGAGCAGCCTGGGCAGCGGGCGCTGTGCCAGCAGCAGGGCACCTGTGTGCACGTATTTAGTCCTCTGGACACTGAGCAGCCCAGCCTGCAGGTGGGGAAGCAGAGCCGGGAGCTGAGGGACTGGCCCCGGGTCTCACGGCTCCTGGGCATTGGGAGCTGGGATTTGACCCCACAGTCTGGTTCCAGAATCCACACCCTGACTCCGCTGCTCCCCGTCCTGGCCCTGATAATGCCAACTGCCTAAAACACAGCTGTCACAGCTGGCGTTTCTTTCTTTTTTTTTTTTTTTAAATATATGTTGATTTCAGAAAAGAAGGTAAAGGGAGAGAGAGAGAGAAACATCAGTGATGAGAGAGAATCACTGATCGGCTGCCTCCTGCGCGCCCCCCAGTGGGGATTGAGCCCACAGCCCGGGCACGTGCCCCCGACCGGAATCGAACCCGGGACGCTTAGTCTGCAGGCTGATGCTCTGTCCACCAGCCAGGGCACCGCTAGCGTTTCTTAAGCGCTGCCACGCGCCAGGACGGTCCCAAGGGCTTATCACCTTATTGAACCCTGACAACAGCCCATTGCTAGCCGCACTCTATGGGCCAGGAAACTGAGGTGCAGGAGCGAGGAGGAGACTTGGGTAGGGAATGGTTAGCGAGGACCGAGGCTGGGCCACAGGAAGGCCCCCATCATCGCCCTGCCCCCCAGGTGGACAGTGAGAAGGGGATCTCCCTTCGCTTCCCGCGGTTTGTTCGCGTCCGTGAAGACAAGACGCCGGAGCAGGCCACCACCAGTGCCCAGGTGAGGCCTCGAGGGGGTGTGCTTGCCTGGCCCGACCAGCTTCTGGGAGAAGTGGGCGCCGACCTGCAGGGGCGAGGGGTGAGGGGCAGCCCTGGCTCTGACCCCCGCCTGCCCTGCCTCCTCAGGTGGCCTGGCTGTACAAGAGGCAGAGTCAGATTCAGAACCAGGAGGACACAGACCAAGACTCCGACCCGGACCTGGAGTGTTTCTACTAGGCCCTGGCCTCCGGGACAGGCGGGGCCCGCACCTCTGGCGTTAATGCAGATCCGGTGTGCAGTGTGTGAGGGTGTGGTTTAAAGTGGGATTTAGTCGTTTTTAAAAAAATAAATATCAACCCCCTGCTCCGTGTCCAGGTCTTGCCGGGCTCTGGGGGTGCTCTGACAGCTCCACGTGGAGGGCGCGTGCCTGTGTGCCAGGGGCTGTCTGAAGCAGCACCTTCCGGCAGAACTTGGCAGCGACAGAAACATCTTCCACCCGCCGTGCAGTGTGACAGCCACCGGCCAGCCAGCAAGCACTTGAAATGTGGCTGGTGCAATTGGGGACATATGTTTATTTTTACTTATTTATTAAAATACTAGAGGCCCAGTGCACAAAATTTGTGCACTGGAGTGGGGGGTGGGGGTGGGGGTCCCTCAGCCGGGCCTGCACCGTCTTGCAGTCCAAGAGCCGTTGGGGGATGTCCAACATCCTTAGTGCTGCCATGGCGGCAGGAGAGGCTCCCGTCACCGCTGCTGTGCTCACCAGCCATGAGCCCGGCTTCTGGCTGAGCTGTGCTCCCCCTGTGGGAGTGCACTGACCATGGGGACAGCTCCTGTGTTGAGCGTCTGACCCTGGTGGTCAGTGGGTGTAATAGTGACCGGTTGTTCTACCATTCGGTCTATTTGCCATATTAGCCTTTTATTATATAGGATGTTTTTATTGATTTTTAGAAGAAGGGAGAGGGATAGAATCATCAATGAGAGAAGCATCAATAGGCTGCCTTCTGCATGTCCCCTACTGGGGATTGAGCCTGAAATCGAGGCATGTGCCCTGACCAGGAATCGAACTGGTGATCCCTTGGTTCCTGGGTCAGTGCTCAACCACTGAGCCACACTGGCTGGGCGCTATTTCTTTTTAATTAAATTTCACTTAAGTAGCCTCATGTGGTTAGTGGCTATTGCATTGGACAATGGCAGTCTCAACGTTATAAACTCATTTAACCTCCCAGCCACCTAACCAGGGGCCACTGTCCCAGAGGAGGACGGAGACGCACAGAGGAGGGAAGGGGCTCGCCCAGGGCCATAGCCGGGAGAGCTGGCTCCAGGGTCTGACTCCAGTTTGGCTCTGGGCCCACACCTTTCAGGGACGAGCCCCCTCCTGTGGGAGACAGGAAGTGTAGTGACGTGTGAGACCTAGCTCTGCCTCGCACCCCTGGGGCCAGGCCTGGCCTCAGCCCTCACACAGCATCCTGGACCTGACCGGGGCGGGGGGACGGGGGGGGGACGGCAGTGGCTGTATGCGTCTCACTCACCCTAATAGCCCCAGCCCCCAGCACCACGCCTGGCCTCAGTCTGATGGAAAAGGAGCCAGCCCTTCCCTTCCCGCCTCACCTGGGCACACGATGGTGGGGTCCTGAGGGACGAGTCCCTTAACCAGCGAACCCAGGGCAGCTGCTGTCGCCAGCTTCTTGTCCTGGGGGAGGCGATGACCCTCCGATAAAACGGCGTTTGTTTCTCAGCTAAGAGTTCCTAACAAGCTGTATCTTAGGGACTAGTATGCACCCATATTCATCAAGTTCAATAAAATGTTTAAGGCAAATAGTATTTGTCTGATAGGGTGTTAAACACTGTATGTCTGGGGACCCCGGTGTCCGTCTTGCTCTGAGTGGAGCCCAGTGGTTCCTTTAGGTGTACAACTGGGTCTCCCCACACCCCGCAGGGCCTCTGGGAGCACGTCCCCGAGCAGCCATGGCCGCCATGTCCTTCTGCCAGGGCTGGGCAGGGCCATCCTCACTCACCGAAGACCCTCATGACACCCTTCTAGGTAGGTACTTTTTTTTTTTAATATATTTTATTGATTTTCTACAGAGAGGAAGGGAGAAGGATAGAGAGGTAGAAACATCAATGAGAGAGAAACATCGATCAGCTGCCTCCTGCACACCCCCTACTGGGGCTGTGCCCGCAACCAAGGTACATGCCCTTGACTGGAATCGAACCCTGGACCCTTCAGTCCACAGGCTGACGCTCTATTCATTGAGCCAAACCGGTTAGGGCTAGGTCGGTACTTTTATTATCCCATTTAACAGACGAGGACACTGAGGCACAGGGGTAGAAGGTACTTTCCCTCGGTCCACTGCCCAGGAAACGGGACCAGGATCTGGTCCAGGCCGCCTGCAGGAGCCCCTGCGTGCATGGCCACTAACTGTCTCCTGAGATCCTCGTGTGCCCCTGCCAGGAGGTGGCGCCTTCTGCCCAGGCACATGCCCAGGCACGGAGGTGGCAGGTCTGGGCGGGAAGAGATCGTGCTGAGGGCTGGAGTATGACACCGAAGGGGTGAGCCTGGCGTCTGAGGGAGCGGAGACCATCGTCCCCCTGGTGACACCACGTTCCTTACAGAAACTGGTGAAACCCGTCAAGGGGAGAGGCTGCTGGGAGCTGGGCTCTGGGATCGTGGGCCTCAGGGAGGTTTGCAGGAGCAATAACTCATAATCGCATGTGAGTTAAAGTGCGAATCTCTATTCGACACGTTAATGGTGATGTCCGTTTTAATCCTTCGATTAAGATAGGGTCTGCCAGGTTTCTGGGGAGAGCGGCTTCAGTGTTGGGACAGGTTCAAGCCTCGAGCTAATGAGAGGGCACGGTCCTCTCATGGCCACGTGCAAGTCCCAGCTTGGAGGGCAGGGCCCTCCCAGCACAATTAGAGCCAACAGCTGTGGCTGTGAGCTTGAACCTATGGTCCGAACACGTGGCCCCACGTGCCTGAGTGCTGTGGGCTTGAGAGAGTTCAGGTGCATGTAATCGAGTAGGATCGAAACCCACGAGAATGTTGTAAACATCTTGACCACGCCCTTACTTTGCCTCGTGGAAACTGGCTATAAATAAAGACACGGCTTGTAGTCCGAGGCGCTGTCTCTCTCCATCCGAGAGGGCAGCATCCCACCGAGACCCAGCTTTCTTCTCTCGTCTTTTTTTAAAAAAAATATCTTTTATTGATTTTTTAGAGAGAGGAAGGGAAAGGGAGAGGGATAGAGTGTTTGATACATCGATCAGCTGCCTCCTGCACATCCCCCACTGGGGATGTGCCTGCAACCAAGGTCCATGCCCTTGATCAGAGTCGAACCTGGGACCCTTCAGTCCGCAGGCTGACGCTCTATCCGCTGAGCCAAACTGGTCAGGGCTCTTTTCTAATCCTCCACCGCCCCCACTCAGGGTCACCGAACCTGGCTGAGCTGGTGCGGCACAGTTTCCTCTATAAAGCAGCTCTCCTTCGACATTAGTAGTTTGTCAGGAGGTATTTGAGCTGGGTAAATATTGTCAAACTTTCCACCGATCTTTTATAAAAAATCTGTGTGGCCCAGCCAGTGTGGCTCAGTGGTTGAGCATCAACCTATGAACTAGGAGATCACGGTTGGATTCCCGGTCAGGGCACAGGCCCGGGTTGCAGACTTGCGCCCCAGCGAGGGGCATGCAGGAGGCAGCCGATGGATGATTCTCTCTCATCATGGATGTTTCTCTCTCTCTCTCTCTCTCTCAAATAAATAAAAATGTATTTAAAAAAAAATCTGTGTGGACTCCCAGTTTCCTGCGTTATCTGATATAATTAGTTACTGTTTATTTTGATTTTCAATTTGCCCTGATGTGGCCGTGGCACTTCCTCAAGCCGACCTGCGTTCTGACCTGTCCCCGTACCTGCGCACCCTGCGTTATGGCAGGACGGGATGTCCCAGGCCCATCTTACACGTGTCCTGCCCCGGGCTCGGAACCGGCCATTTCTCCCAGGAGCTGGCTTCCTTTTCGCGGAGAGTGGTATTTACAAGTCAAGAGCTGGATGCGAGAGGTGCTCACTAACATCGGGTGTCGCTGCTCCCCCTCTGAGAGAGAGGATTCACAGTCAAGTTCCCTGCACACCCCTGCCCCCAGCTCCAGGCCAGCACCACGGGGGGTCCTCCTCCCCCCGTTTCTGTATTAACTCCCTTTCCGGCTGTGAGAAGCCGGACCTCCGTTACCCTTCACGTGATCCACATGTGTGACCAGTCTCCCGTCTCCATTGCCACCCCACCCCTGTGGGGACCCCTTTCTCATGCTGATCTGGCTTCAGCAGCCGACACCATGCCACCCCCACGAGTGGACGACCTCGGGACACCCCCCCAGGCTAGGCGATGACACCTGCATAGGTTCCCTCCTCCGCTAACCCTCACGCTCCAGCTCCCACACCGGCTGCTCGCCTGCGGCCCATCCTCACCTTCCCGGGCCCAGACCCTCAGGCCGGGCTGCCTCTGTGGGGACACCTCCCTCGCTCCAGACCCTGTTTGAACTCTGGCTCCCCACAGCGATGGTCCCCCCTTCTCTCCTGACCCTCATCGCCTCCTTGGGCTCTGATCACGTGACATCTCTCCTTGACCCCTGTGCCAGCCAGATGCCCGCCTTGGTCCGTTTCCCCCACCCCCCGCCCCTCCGCCAATTCCCAAATTATTCAGAAAGAAAGGAAGGGAGGAGGTGAGCACGGGAAGAGCAAATACCAACCTCTGAACCGCTGCGCACACCTCCTTCCTGAAGGCGGCCGCCTAATTCTTGCATCCTGCCCGTCGGTGCACGTTCCGGACGTACACAGAAGCTCCTCGGGGCCTGACGAAAGGTGCCCGTTGGACTCAAGCAGGCCTGGCCCTGCCGCTCACCGATTGCATAAGCCTAAAGCAAGTGGCTTCGTGACAGCCTCAGTCTCCTCATCTGTAAAATGGGAAGGTGTTACCGGCCTCAGGAGTCGTTCCGAGGATTAAGTGACATCAGGAACGCAAAGCCCTTTGCACAGGGCTGGGCACGTAGCAAGCTATGCAAGGTCATCGCTGTGTGACGTCCTCTCCGTCTTCGCAGGCCCAGAGGCCAGCAGGGGCCAGGCTTCGAGTGACGCCACACTAGTTGAGACACCTAATGAACGGCTGCCCTCCCCTCGAATCCCCACTTTTTAAACTCTAATTCCATTCTGGGGATAAAAGGTCAGGGCCTGAGGCCAGCTGCCCCTCCGCCTCACTCAGGCCAGATGGGGAGGCCGGGACGCTCTGATCCCTACCCGGCCGGAGGAGATTTCCGCCCCAGCTGCCACAGCTCTGTGCCCCCAAAGCCAGGAGAGGCGAAGGAGTGACAGAGAAGAGAAGGAGGCTGAGCCACCAGGGGGACCGGGAGGAGGGGAGCCGTCTTGAGATTGGTGCCTGGTGAGCTCTGCCTGCCCGCCCGGCCCCTCCATGCAGTTCCCCACGGGCCCCGCCTGCATCTTCCTGCGGAAAAGCATCGCTGAGAAGCAGCGGGTGAGGCGGGGACAGTGGGAAGGAGGGCGGGCGGGGCAGCACGGGCGGGCGCAGTGGGTCTGGGAGCAGGTGGGGGGAGTGTGAACTGAGGAGAGGAAGCTCCAGGAGCACGCTGGGGACATGCGGGCCTGTGGAATGGGTGAGGGTGGAGGGGGGCAGGTGCAGGGGGCGAAGAAAATGAAAGGGGACTGGGGTGATGTCAGTATCGGGGCCACCATTTTTTCCTGTGGACGCCCTCAGTGGTGATGATGATGAGGGTAGCTGCCACTCACTAAGTCACTGCTATGTGCCCAGCCCTGTGCAAAGGGCTTTGCGTCCCTGATGTCATTGAGTCCTCAGAACGACTGAGGTCGGTAATACTTTCATTCCCATTTTACAGGTGAGGAAACTGAGGCTGAGTCATGAAGTCACTTGCTTTAAGCTTATGCAATCACTAAGTGGCAGGGCCAGGTCTGTTTGTTCCAGTGGGCACCTTTTGCTAGGCTCTAGATCTATATATATAAAAGCCTAAGTGACTGGATGACCGGTTGACCGGTTGACCGGTTGACCGGTTGACCGGTCGACCGGTTGCTATGACATGCACTGACCGCCAGGGAGCAGACGCTCAGCATAGGAGCTTCCCCCTGGTGGCCAGTGCACTCCCACAGCAGGAGTGCCACTCAGCTGACCTAAGGGGAGCCAGACACCGGGCTCACGGCTGGCAAGCACAGCTGTGGCACGAGCCTCTCCTGCCTCCACGGCAGCGCTACCGAGAGGAGGTGGCAGGCACAGTGGGGCCGGGCTCGGGCTCTTCCCTGGTCACCTGCCACTTCGTGGACTACTACATCCCTCGGGGGATGTCGGACTGCCGGTTTCGGCCCGATCCCATAGGTCTGGCCCCGAAACCGGCAGTCCGACATCCCCAGAGGGAATGTGAGAGGGTGCAGGCCAGGCCGAGGGACCCCACCGGTGCATGAATGTGTTAGCAAGTCTAATAGTAATAACAGAGAGAGGGAGGGGACACGGGGGAGGGGATGACAAGAAAGAAGCTACGGGCAAGGCTCCAAGGATAAGGGGAAGCAGGGGTGAAAGAGGCCCAAGTTGGGTGGGTGGTTTCCCAGGTGGCGGCCTCGTAGCCAAGCCTGGCCCTTCAGGGATGCCCAGGATGGTGGCCGCAGAAATGATGGGGAATTCTTAAAGGTTTTAGGGATTGGTCCTGCTGGCACGGATCATCCCTCCTGGCCGCCACTGGACACAGGTCCCACACAAAGGGATTCTAACTCTTGGGAGAAAGGATGATGGGCTGTCGTGGAAAGAATTCCGACCTGGGAGCCAGGAGCCCTGAATCCACATCTCAGCGCTCGCGGCAGCCGGAGCTGTGTGACCTGGGCAGGCTTCCTTACCTCTCTGTGCCTTGGCTCCCTCGTCAATAAGATGGGCATGGTCTTTGGGTCGACCTCACAGAGCGGTGCTGGGGTTCGAATGAAGTGATTGTGGGAGCTGCCCGGCGTGGTCAGCCATCAGAACACATTAGCTGTGATTGTAAGACTCACCTTCTCCATCTGGAGGAGGAGGGGGCTGGATTCGGTGGCCTCTGAGATCCTGGTCGGTCGGTACAATGGGATGGCTGTCTCTTTGGGAAAGGCAGAGGGAGAGAGATCAAGATTCATGGATGGGAGAGAGGCAATGAGAAGGGTGAGGAAGAGGGCGGTAGCTGTGGAACGGGAGTCAGGAGACAGGAGAAGGAAGATGAGAGGGTGCAGGGAGCAGGGACTGGAGGAGAGACAGGGAAGGGTGAAGAATAGCTTGGGAGACGGTGGGCACATGTTTGGAGAATTGAATGTTGGATCCCTGACCCTCCCTCCAAATTCCATCTCTCTTGCATTCCTCTCCAGGAAAGACCACTCGGACAAGATGAGATCGAAGGTAACAACACTCTCTCCCCCAAATGCCCCCTCATCACCATCCACCCACTTGCCTGCTCGCTGTCCCTTTGTGCTGTTCAGTGTAAGTCCCCTCACGTGAAAATTTCACATTGTTCTCTTTCCATTCGGTGGTGATTTTGTGGAACCCTTTCTCATGGCAGTGTAGGTACCTCCCGAAGTATGTAGAAGGCACACCCATCCCCAGGTGTCTCAGAGACCCAGGGGTGACACCTGAGTTTTAGAATAAATAGAAAATTATTGGGTTTTCTTTTGATGGTTTTGAACTTTCCCATAACTTCACCCAGGAATTCAGTGCCACCGTTTGGCGGCCTCCTGCTAACACATTTCATACATCACTCCTTTTTGAAATACTGGCTTTTAAAACCGTGTTCTCCTTTGAGGAGTCTCTAGTGACTGGGCCTCATTGATGGTTTCAAGGGACACCACTCTTCCCCATTGACGGTTTCGAGTTTTTCCAAAGGTCTTCCCTCTTAACTTTCAGAGCTCCGGGAGGCATTTCTTGAGTTCGACAAGGACCGAGATGGGTTCATCTCTTGTAAGGACCTGGGAAATCTCATGAGGACAATGGGTTACATGCCCACGGAGATGGAACTGACTGAACTGGGCCAGCAAATCCGCATGAACTGTGAGGCTGGGGAACGGGGGTGGGGTGGGGATTACCGGGGCGAGGGGAGCTCTGAGGGTGTAATTGGTAAGGAGAGGCTGAGAGTAGTTGGAGTTAGGGAGGAGGGTAAGAGGGACTGTTCTTAGGGAGGCAGAGTTGAAGTGGTTAAAATGTGACTCTTAGAATAGATTTGGGTTCAAGTCCCAGTCTTTTATTTACTAATGTGGTCATTTTGAAAAGTGGAGTTAAGCCCTCGGACTCTCAAGTCTGAGTTTCCCCATCTGTCGAGTGAAGATTGTATCACTCCTTACTTCATGAGACTGTGGGTAGGAAGGGATAAAGATGCTAACGCAGGCCAAAACCGGTTTGGCTCAGTGGATAGAGCGTCGGCCTGCGGACTGAAGGGTCCCAGGTTCGACTCCGGTCAGGGGCATGTACCTGGGTTGCGGGCATATCCCCAGTCGGAGATGTGCAGGAGGCAGCTGATTGATGTTTCTCTCTCATCGATGTTTCTAACTCTCTATCTCTCTCCCTTCCTCTCTGTGAAAAATCAATGAAATGTATTTAAAGAAAAAAAAAAAAAAAAAAAGATGCTAACGCAGGTAAAGGCTTAGCCTCCAGCAAATGCTTATTAAATCTCGGTTATTACTGTCACCACTAGATTCATTAGTGGAGCACAAGATTGGAACTGCCTTAAAAAATATATATGTATATATATAATATATAATACATATATATATAATATATAACATATATATATATATATATATATATATATATATATATATATATAATTTCAGAGAGGAAGGGTGAGGGAGAGAGAGAGATAGAAACATCAGTGATGAGAGAGAATCATTGACCAGCCGCCTCCCGCACACCCCACCCTGGGGATCGAGCCAGCAACCTGGGCATGTGCCCTGACCGGGAATTGAACCGTGACCTCCTGGTTCATAGGTCGATGCTCAACCACTGAGCCATGCCGGGTCAGGCAAGGTTGGAACGGCTTTTGATGCTGGAAACGAAATTGGACTTGGAGCTAGTGCCGATGAATAGCGCTAGGAAAGGGATGTTTATTTATTTATTTTTTCAGATAGCAACTAGAGCGGATCTGGGGACGGATGCTGGGTTTGCCTCTGGGCATGTTACTGAGTCAATGAGGTTGAATCTAAGGACAGGGAAGTAGACACGTCTGGAAGAGACTTTGCTCATTCAATTCACACTCATCCTACAGATGGGGGAGCAGAGATGTGCAGCAATGAAGAGACTTATTCCAGGCTAGACGGACAGTTAGTTCCTCCCCCCACACCACACCCCTCCACCCCCGTTCAGATCAGAGAGACCCCAGGGCTTGAGCTGGCCGAGAGAGAAAGGTCCGAAGGCAGAGAGACTAGAGAAGGCCTACGTCTCGGACAGACCCGCAGGGCAAAGCGAGGTAAGGTATTGGGGGACTGGGCGTGCGGACCTCACCGGGCTGCCTCTCCTTCCCCAGTGGGCGGCCGCGTGGACTTTGACGACTTTGTGGAGCTGATGACGCCCAAGTTGCTGGCAGAGACGGCGGGGGTGATCGGCGTCCAGGAGCTGAGAGATGCCTTCAAGGAAGTGAGTTGAGGTTTCACCATGCGGGGGTGGCCCGAGGACACCCAGGGGCCAGTGACTTGTCATGAGCCATGGACAGAGCCCACCCAAACCAACTGTTTCTCTAGCTGTGGTGGGTTTATAGGGAAGGGAAAGAACATAGTCGAAGACCTGGCCATGCACAAAGTCCTCTAGCTATTTTATCTAATGTAACCCTCACAGATCAGGGCAGGAGTTAGTAGTCATTTATCTCTCTCTGTCTCTTTTTAAAAATTGTTTAAAGTATTGCATATGTCTCCCTTTTCCCCGACTGACACCCCCTCCACCACTCCCACCCCCCCAGAACAAGCCCCCACCGCCCCAGTGTCCATGTCCATTGGTTATGCTAATATGCATGCAAGTCCTTTCGTTGACCCTTGGACAACACAGGTTTAAACTGCGTGGGTCCACTTTTATGGGGTGCCCTCCCCAATATATACACACACTTTGAATAATTATAAAGGCAGTGGTTATTAAAATACATTTCATTTCTAAACCGAGCTGTCAGCTGCTAAAGTGTATATATACATTTTTGGGGCGACACCCTGTCTGTGGCTTTTTTTCAATACATATATTGGAAAATTTTTCGGAGATTTGTGATGATTTAAAACAACTGACAGATGAATCTTATGATTTTTTAAAAACATTTATTTTTTAAATATATTTTTATTGATTTCAGAGAGGAAGGGAGAGGGAGAGATAGAAACATCAATGATGAGAGAGAATCATCGATCGGCTGCCTCCTGCACGCCCCCTACTGGGGATCATGCCCGCAACCCGGGCATGTGCCCTTGTCTGGAATTGGCAGTTCACAGGCCAATGCTCTATCCACTGAGCCAAACCGACCAGGAGGTGATTTTTTTATACCGCTTTCTTTAGCCTATTGTGCACATGTAACATAGGTGTTGGCGGATGGGTTTCTGTATCAGTGAAGCTTGCGGTCAGCAGGGGGCTATAGTCATTGAGTTTGGGGGGAATCAAAGGTCACAGGCAGGCCCTGACCGGTTTGGCTCAGTGGATGGGGCGTCGGCCTGCGGACTGAAGGGTCCCAGGTTCGATTCCAGACAAGGGCACATGCCCGGGTTTCGGGCACATCCCCAGTAGGGGGTGTGCAGGAGCAGCTGATCGATGTTTCTCTCTCATCGATGTTTCTAACTCTCTATCCCTCTCCCTTTCTCTCTGTAAAAATTCAATAAAAAATATTAAAAAAAAAAGTTACAGGCAGGCTTTTGACTGGGCAGGGGGTCAGCGCCTCTCGGCCCCCAGTCATTCAAAGGGTCACCTGCACCGGCCCCTCCTGCTCCTTTTCAGTTTGACAGCAACGGGGACGGGGCCATCACCCTGGGGGAGCTGCAGCAGGCCATGCGGAGGCTGCTGGGGGAGGAGCTCAGCGCGCGGGAGCTCGCTGAGGTGGTCCGGGAAGCCGATGTGAATGGAGATGGCACCGTGGACTTTGAAGGTGACGCTGCCAACCCCCATGCCCTGTGTGATGCCCCAAGTGGGCTGCTCCTTCCCGCTCCTCCCCCAGCCCAGGTTGGGGGTGGGCAGGGTTGGGGAGGGTTTTTGCTCCAGCCCTTTCTGCCCACGTCATTTCAAAGACCTTGGTATTGCCCCAGCTGGTTTGGCTCAGTGGTTGGAGCGTGGGCCTACACACCAAGGGGCCCCAGGTTTGATGGTTTGACTCCTGGTCAAGGGCACATACCTCAGTTACAGCTTCCATTCCTGACCCCGGACAGGGCGTGAATGGGAGGCAACCAGTTGATGTGTCTCTCTCACATCGATGTTTCTCTCTCTCCTTTCTCCCTTCCTTCCACTCTCTCTAAGAAATCAGTGGAAAAAATATCCTCGGGTGAGGATTCAAAAATTAAATAAACGACAAAGACCTCAGTGCCTCTCCCCTCCCCTCGCTTCTGCCCCTGGTTGCTCCCAGGGACACCGTGTCCAGGAGCCCAGGCTCGGGCAGGACTCACGGCCACCGCCCCCTCGCGTCCGTGTTCACTGGGCGCCTTTGTCCCATCAGAGGGAGAGTGGACTGGCCAGCAGCTGAGACTCCGGGGTCAGGTTCACGGGGTTTAAGTTCAGTCTCTTACTAACTCTGTGGCCTTAGCCTCATCGCTCATTCACTTCAAGTGTCAGTGTTCACATCTGCAAAATGGGCGTGATGACACTTTCCTCCCAAAGCTTTGGAGGAAATGAAAAGGAGCCATATCCTGCCCTGGGGGGTGTAGCTCAGGGATGAGAGCGCCGGCCCCCACACCAGAGGGTCTCAGGTTCAAATTCCGGTCAAGGGCAGGTTTGATCCTGACCCTCGTTAGGGGGGGGTGTGGGAGGCAACCAATCGATGTGTCTCTCATGTAGATGTTTCTCTCTCTCTTTCCCCCTCTTCCCTCCCTTCCAATTTCTCTCGCTAAAAAAAAAAAAAAAAAAAAAAGGCAATGGAAAAAAGATCCTTGAGTGAGAATTAACAAAAATTAAAATAACATAAAAGGAAGCATGCACCAATTGCTCCTTTTAAAAAAAATTCCCACTCAAGGAAATGTCATTTTTATTTTTAAAAAAATTTATTTTATTATTATTATTATTATTTTTTTACGGAGAGGAAGGGAGAGGGAGAGTTAGAAACATCGATGAGAGAGAAACATCGATCAGCTGCCTCCTGCACACTCCCCACTGGGGATGTGCCCACAACCAAGGTACATGCCCTTGACCGGAATCGAACCTGGGACCTTTCAGTCTGCAGGCCGACGCTCTATCCACTGAACCAAACCGGTTAAGGCAGAAATGTCATTTTTAAATTGATTTGAGAGAGAGAGAGAGAGATCATTGATGTGAGAGGGAATCATGGATTGGCTGCCTTCCGTTCACGCCCTGACTGGGATTGAACCCAAAATGTTGGGAATCAAACCAGCAACCTTTTGCCTTTTGCTGTTGGAGCTGATGCTCCCACCAGTGGAGCCGCCGGCCAGGGCTCCCGGCCGACTCTCAGTTACGCTCCAGGAAGGTGTCCCGCCTCGCTTGCCGGGCTCAGCGACCCCACGACCTCCGTGCGTGCCTCTGCAGGAGGGCTGGTCCGTGACACCCGACGGCTTACATTAGCTTCCTTCTGAGGCCACGGAGCCAGGCTTCCATCGCTGCTCCCCCAGTTCCCCGCCCGAGTAACGAGATTCTGTACATGAAAAAGTTGGAGTCCTGGGCAGATGGGAGCGAAGCTCATTTGTGTGGGAGACAAATAGGGCCGTCAAGTTCTGCTGATGACACCTTCTGATGGAAAAAACCTCAGCATCTAACTGCTGCCCGAAGGCCAAAGTCCAGCACCCTTCGTCTGGTGGTCAAGGGCACCCAGGACCCAACCCCTTCCATTCAGCCATGTCTTCCACCACCGCCTCTGAGCTTTCACGTCCGGGTGCACCCCGGGCACCTGCTCTGCTCCCCCCAACTCTGTTCCTTTCTCCTAGGGTTCCTTCCACTGTCAGTGCCTTCCAGGCCTTGCCCCTCCCTCAGGACATCACGCCGACGCAACCTGTGCTAGACGTGCCCCTTTGGCCTCAGCTGGGTGTATGCACCCCTCCAGCCTCAGCTGGGGGTCAGTCCCAGCTGGGGAGCCTTACAGACCTTTCTTCTCGTCTCCAAAGGAAGTTATTGCTGCAGGCCTTGCTGTGTTGACTTGTGTTTGCCCCCTCAGCTGTGAAATCCTGGGGGCAGCGAGGGGTCTTCCCTGAACCATCTCTGCCCTGTAATTCCCGATACTTAGTATTTGCTGCACGGCTGCGACTTCTCAGGTGTGGCCGGGTGCCTGCTGGTCTGGGAAGCCCCAAGTGACCAGTGGGCATCACTGAAGATGTGGAGGAGGCAGGAGATAGACCTTTGAGGAGACAGCCTCGGGCCCACCACAGGCAAGGGCAGGACAGGCTGACCTCCAGACCTGGGTGGGACTGGTGAGCTCATCGCCGTTGGGTGGCATGCAGCAAAGTCAGGTCAACTGTGCCCATGTCAGGGCTCGCCACTTGCCGCCCACATGACCTCAAGCTCCCCATTGGCCAACCTCGCTGGCCTTGGTTTGCTTATCTGTGAAGTGGTACTTACCCCTCTGGGGCTGGTAGAAGAGATGAAAGAAGATACTTGTAATTACTATTTAACACGTACGGTGACTTATCCTATATAATAAAAGCATAATATGCAAATTGTCCCCTCGACTGGGAGTTTGACCATGAGTTCAACCAGGGGGATGGGGTCGGTGGGCCAACTTCCTGTAGCCCCTCCCCCCGGCTGGCCCGGCCCCGATTGGCCGCAACTGGGGCAGGCTGGCCAGACCACACCTCTAGTAAGCATTATATTATTCAACCACCGTAAAAACCATATAAGTAACATGTCTTTTTAAAAAAAAATAATATATTTTTATTGATTTCAGAGAGGAAGGGAGAGGGAGAGATAGAAGCATCAATGATGAGAGAAAATCATTGATCGGCTGCCTCCTGCATGCCCCCCACTGGGGATTGAGGCTGCAACCTGGGCATGTGCTGGGACCGGAATTGAACCCTGACCTCCTGGGTTCATAGGTCAACGCTTAACCACTGGGCCACTCTAGCAGGTGGTAACTTCTCATTTTTTAAAAAAAATATATCTTTATTGATTTCAGAGAGGAAGAGAGAGGGAGAGAGACAGAAACATCAATGATGAGAGAGAATCGCTGATCGGCTGCCTCCCGCACGCCCCCTATGAGGGATCAAGCCCACAACCCAGGCAGGTGCCCGTGACCGGAATTGAACCCGAGACTCCTCAGTTGCAGGCCGACGTTCTATCCACTGAGCCAAACAGGCCAGGGCCTCATTTCTGTCGATGAAGAAATCAAGGCTAGAGGGGTCAAGACGTTTCCCAAGGACCACGTGGCTTCTGACTCGGAGGAAGGGCTTGGCAAGGTGATGTTACTGTTCTTACCAGGACTTCTGTTCGCAGAGTTTGTGAAGATGATGTCTCGCTGAGGAGCTTCTGGGAACGCCAGCCGCTCCCCACCTGGTGACGGGGATCAAGCATGAGGATGAGGACCGAATGCTCTCGGGGAGGGCGGGAGGCGGACTGGGAACTGGAATGAGGTTGGTGGGGAAGTGAGCGCCTTGCCCTGGTTGGGGGTGGGGGTGGGGGTGGGTGACATCTCTAGGATTAAGGAGGCAGAATCTATGAATGGAATGGGAACGGGACTGGGGTCCAGTTGCCGCTCCAAAAATTCCAGCGTCGAATGCCATCTTTTGAGGCCACGTCATCCCACCTCCCTGCCACCTGCCCGCCTCTCCCCCAGCCTCCTCTTGCGTGGAGTGGTCTGTTCGCCTCACCAAGCTCAGCACGTAGTTCGACCTTCCCCTTCCTCCTCCCTCTGCCTCCCAGCCCTCCCTCCGTCCCCGGGGCAAGAGGAGGGCTGCCCATCGCAGGCCAGACGCGGGGCACCCGGTAAAACTGGGCTGGGAGATGGTTCGTTCAAGGTGCGCCCACGTGAGTGTACCCTCTCCCTCCTGTCCTTGATTTTGGGGGGGGGGGGGGCGCGTTCCCCTCTGGCTTCCGGCTTCCTTGTCCTGGTGTAAGAGACTCCGGCCACTGCATTAAACCACAGATCAGATTATCAAGGTTTAGGCTAAGCCGATCCCCAGGGAACTAATCCCCCGCGAAATGTCATCCTGCAAAGAGAGAGAGGGCACCGCAGCCTCCAAACCCGTGGCCGCGCCTGGTTCCCGGAGCAGCCCTGGCTGGGAGCCCCGCCCCGCCCTCTGCCGGGGCTGCGTGGGGAGATCCCTCCTGGGAGCCGGGCAGTGGGCTCCAGGCACCACCCCCGACCCCCGGACACAGGTCCAGGCTGCGGAACCGGAACCGGAGGCGTAGTCCTCCTCGCCTCTCCCCGCGCACAGGGCAGGACGCGGCGGTAACGCAGAGCCCCTCCCGGTGCAGAGCGCGGTTCACGCCTCCTCCCCGTCTCGCTCACGTCTGAAGTCCAGCAGGAAGATGTGCAGAATGGCTCACCCGGCCCAATAGCCTTGTTGCATAGAATTAAACATTTTAAAAAGTGGATCAGCCCTGCCGACGTGGCTCAGTGATTGAGCGCCGACCTAGGAACCAGGAGGTTACGGTTTGATTCCTGGTCAAGGGCTCATGCCCAGGTTTCCGGCCCCATCCCCAGTGGGGGGCGTGCAGGAGGCAGCCGATCAATGGTTCTCTCTCATCATTGATGTTTCTCACTCTCTCTCTCCCTTCCTCTCTGAAATCAATAAACATATTTCAAAAACACACACTAAAAGTCTGTGGGTTTTTATTTTTTATTTTTAAAGTGGAATCAGAATAATGTATGTCCTAACCCAGTGGTTCTCAACCTTCTGGCCCTTTACATACAGTTCCTCATGTTGTGGCCCAACCATAACATTATTTTCGTTGCTTCTTCATCACTGTCATGTTGCTACTGTGATGAATCGTCATGTAAGTATCTGATCTGCAGGATGGTCTCAGGCGACCCCTGTGAAAGGGTCGTTCGACCGCCAAAGGGGCCGCGACCCACAGGTTGAGAATTACTGAGGCCTGTCATTGTCCTTCTTCACCATCCTGAGACCATTTCATTTGAAGCTTCCCACCCTTCACTCCCTTTCCCCTCCCTCTACCCTCCTGCTACCCTTCATTTGCTCAGCAGCGATGCATGACGTGCTTGTCATGTGCAAGGCTCGCCTCCAAGCCCACACCCCAGGCCCAGGAGCTTGCATTGTAACGGGAGGAGACAGCCACGGAGCAAATGTAACTGTACTGAGAACGTTGGAAGGTGGTAAGAGATATTGGGGGGGGGGGGGGGCGGGTGAATGGAACAGAAAAGGGGCTTGAGGGGCTCTGGGAATGCAGAGGAGTCCTCATCCCACAGGGGCCCCGGGGGCATGACTGTGAGCATCTGGGACACGGTGCAGGTTGCGTGCAAAGGCCCCGAGGCAGGAATGTGCCTGGAGTGTCGGAGGAATGGCCGGGAGGCCAGGTGGCTGGAGAGGGTGGGCGGTGGTGTGGGAGGCAGCTAGACAGACATGAGCAGAGCAGGGACGATGGGCCAGGTACAGAAGGTCAAGGGTGAAAAGCCCTAAGGGCCCAACAACAGACAACTGTGTGTGGGGGGGCTTGTCCCAGGGTGATCTGTGCTTCCGTAGTACATCGCTGGCCGTGCGGTTTGGACCCCCTGACCTTTTCCTCCCTGGAGACAACATCCAGGCCTCCGTGTATCTCAGCTCCAGGCCCAGAAAAGCAGCAAAACCAGACAAGGGATTCCAGGGCCATGGCTCCTCTCAGGACCAACTTCCTGGAATAATGACCCCTGTCCTGGTACCGGCCAAACAGTGGGGGCTCCAATCCTGAAAGGACACATCTGGAAAGCAGCTGGATAATCTATTGAGATCTTCCCCTGGGGCCTCCCCCCAAATCTCCACCCTTAACCCCTTAGGATGGAGGACCCACTCACTGGGTGGGTGAGTCCCACCCTCCCAGGAGCCCACTCACTCACCCTCCCAGGAGCACACCCACGTCTTTCCCTTCTCCCTCTGGCTCCCCCAGGCGTGTTCCCATTCCCTTCCTCGCTCCCCAGCTCTGAGGGCCCTTTGGCCGCCGTAACTTGTTTTCTGAGCCCATTGCTTCACCACTCATTTCTTCCACCTCTGTGATTTTCTAAATAAACTAGGGGCCCAGCTTGAGAAATCGCGTGCCCCGCCCAACCATGCCCGCCTTGCCACACCCACCTTGCCGCCCCACCCGCCCACGGGCCACCGGCCTTGCTGTGATCGGAGCCTGTGGGCCGCAAGGGAGGGACCAAGAGGTACTCCATGCACCTCCTGGTGACGGGTTGATTGGTTGTTCCGGCGTTATGGCGTTACGGTGTTACGGTGTTACGGCCACAGGCCTTTTATAATATAGATGTCCTCTTATGGTTTGAGTCTTGGCTCTGAATTCTTTCTCAGCCAGAACTCAAATTCCAATTGCTGAACCCAAATCCAGTCTGACCCACCAGTCTAACACCGGGTGCTGTTCCCACCCCGCCAACAGCAAGGGGTCAGCGCGGATCAGGGGTTCCATCACGTGAGTCTGTTCTTCGAGGCCATTTTAAGGATCTTGGAGGGTTCAGAGAAGAGGAGTGACATGATCCAGACCTGCCTTTCAAAGCTGACTTCTGCTTCCTGTTCCAGCTCCATCCCGTTCCATCTCTACACCCACCCACCCACTCACCCACCCACCACCCATTCCCTCCCTCATCCAGTCGGTATCTTATTTGCTGAGTCCCTACTGTGTGCCTGGCACTGTCAGGTGAGGGAAGTAGAGCAGTGATAAGGGACTTGACCTCCAGGAGCTTATATTTTATTGTATTTTATCCTGCCTCATGATGAGTGAGGCAGAGAAACGGATTTAAAACTTTTTTTATTGTATGAAGCTAATAACATTTCATTCATAAGTTATTGATCTTATTTATGAATGAGTTCAGTGAATCCTATGAATCTGACCTCCCCACCTGTGTCTCCCGTGTGGCTAGTGGCTCCTGTGTTGGCCAGCGCATGCCCCCACTATAAACCTGGGTTATTCTAGGTCCTGGAGACAGCCCAGCGGCAAGGCCTTTGCTTTCTTGGAGCTTACAGTCCAGGGTGAGGGGAGAGGAAAAGAATCATTACTTAAGAGAAGTTCAGATCAGGAAGGTGCTTTGAGGAAGATAAAGTGGGGTGGTGAGATAGCAAGAGAATGGGGGGAGGAGGCAGGGTGGTTGAATCGCTGGAGTAAAGGAGGAGGGAGGGCGGGGAGGGGAAGAAGGGGTAGAGGGATGGAGAGAGGAAGAGGAGCAGGAGGAAGAGGAGTAAAAGAAGAGGGGAAGGGGAGGGAAAGAGGAGGAAGACGAGGAGGGGGAGAGGAAGGGGAGGAGGGGGAGGGGGAGGGGAGGAGGGGGAAGGGGGCCCTGGCCAGGGTGGCTCAGTTGGTTGAGCGCCATCCTGTGCATTGAAGCGCCATCCTGTGCCTCAAAGCACCTTCCTGATCTGAACTTCTCTTAAGTAATTATTCTTTTCCTCTCCCCTCATGTCACCTGTCAGGTCAGGGCACGTGCCCAGGATCTCAATTCCCTCAGCAAGGGTGATTGCGGGAGGCAACTGATGGATATTTCTCTCTCACACTGATGTTTCTCTCTCTCCCCCCTCCCCCTGTCTCTCAAAGAAAATCAATAAACACATATTTTTAAAAAAAGAGGGAGAGGGAGAGGCAGAAAAGAAGGAGGGGAGAGGGGAGGGGAAGGACAAGAGGTTGCATCTGGGAAACAGAGTCTGTAATCGATTGTTGATGTCTGCCACGGTCACGGGGAAGGAGTCACTCAGGCAGTTGTGCAATGAATTGTCTACCCTTCGTTTACTTACTCGTTTATTTATTAATGATTTCATAAGTACCTACGCGAGCTCCACCCAGATCTGTGATTTTCCCAGAAAGAAGCATGAGGCTGTACTCACTGCCAAGGCTCCCCGGGCTGACAGTCTCATCTCCCCACCGCACCTGCGTCTCAGCAACGCAGCCACCACACACTCGCGGCCCTCACCACGTCTCTCCTTCTAGGAAGCAGGAGGGGCAGCCCGGGTTCATTTTCGGGCTCCTTTATTGGTGCTTAGGCCGCAATTCCCCTCTGTTTTTCACAAGTGACCGAGGGGATGAAGCAAGAGAGTGGGCAGGGCATTTCTAAAGGTGATCAACGAAGCTTGAAAGATGACGCGAAAAGGCGAATCTGGTCCCACACTTCGTCTTCCTCGGAAGACGTCTCTCCGCCCCCTTGAAAAGAAAGCCCAGAGCCAGCGTTTAGGTAACAGATATGCGTGGACTCACACTGCGATCAATATAAAGGGCATTGATTTTCAAGCATTTGGACACCCCCGCCCCTCCCCTGGCTCCTGGGAGCCAGCCAGTCAAAGACCCATGAGCGCCTCAGCTCTGTCGTTGGAGGTGTGGTGGGAAG